TTAATGGCATACCATTAGCTAGAACATGGAAAGACCAAACTTCATTCTTATGCACTATTCCAGTTCAACGTGATGGAGCGGGTATATTCTTTGATGGATTAGAAACTTTCAATTCACAAGTTACAGTACAAGTGAAAGCTTATCCAATCATTCAGGGTGAAAATGACACTTACTGTTCAAAGGTGACAAATCCTCCTCAGGTTTGGTTTACTAGGACTACATATTGGACATGGACACCGGACGAAGGTTTGAAATATCATCCAACAGGTACACCACCACAGTATAGAAGTTCATATGATGAAATATTGATGAATAGAAATGTTTAAAATTATAAATTTATTTTTGATTAAATGGATTTAAATTCATCACCCCTTATGAAGAATTAGCAGGAGTATATAATACATACATAGATGATATGATTAATGAAGCATTGAGTGATAATAGAAATGCTCTATCTAAGGAAAAATTAATGAAAATTCCATATTCTGAATGTTACTTAAATTCAATCACTGCAGCAATTGGTAAACAAAATAAAGGTAAAACATTAACGATATTAAAACAAATTATCATTATTGCTAACACTTCCCCCTATTCACATGTGTTAATTTATATCAACCGTTCAGGTTCACCTTCAGATGATACATTTGAATCTTTAAAGCATTTAATCAAAATTCCAATTATTTATTTATCACAAGAAGAAGCAGAAGATTATTTAAAAAACTTTTTAATGTATAAAGAATTATATAATACAATCAAGAAGCAAGGATTAGAGGATAAAATTATTGATAAACAACGGGATGAATTATTTGAAACACTTTCTATTTCAAATTTTGATAGAGAATTTTTGCATTCACTAATTTTTCTAGATGATGCCGTGAAATCAAAACTAATAACTAATGAGAAATCATATTTTAATCAGTTATTAACTCAATGTCGACACATTCAGTGTTCATTCTTTATGGCTGTTCAATATTTCAAAGCATTAAGCACAAACATTAAATCAAACCTGTCCACCCTTTTCATTTTCAGTGGTTTAGTCGTCAACAGTTGAACGTTATGCTTTATCAAGTGAATTTACCAATGAGCATTAATGAACTTTACACACAATATCAACAATTAGGAGAACATGGAAAAATAATAGTTGATTTAAATAAAGGAAGTGTTAAATTTGATTAACTTTTTATAATTAATTTTTATTTTTTATTTATAATTAAACATGACAGAAATAGCAAATCTTCTACAGGTTCCATTAAAACAAGGGACAAACAAAAAGGGTGTATATAATAGAACTATGAAAGTTCCAGACGGAATGAAAGAATTAGTCCACATTGTTGCCGGTCTTCAAAAGGATGTTAAACAAATGAGAAACGTTTTAACATTACCAGAAGCTCAAGCATATGCCAAACGTCATGGACCAAATTGGGAAGCACGCGAAGCAGACATTACGGGTCCAAATGGAAAACCTGATGGTATAAATGAAGTTTTCGTTACTGATGGTCAAGGTAATATTAAAGTCATAAATGGTTATAAATTAACTATGTCTGATTATCCTAAACGTAAAGCATATAATGAACGTTATCCTATACAATTTGATGAAAATGGAAAAGCTGTTAAACAATACATTGGAGAAGGTGAAAATGGTCCAATTAATTCATACCGTCATAATCCATATTCTTATTTCAATGAAGAATTAAATGCTATTGAAGAGGGACCGGATGGATTACCACGATATTTAATCAGTTTGATGGTCAATATGCAAATATTAGACCTGAAATTCCAGCTAAGAAATTCTTTAAAGTTGCTTTATTCGATCCAGTGTTCAATGAACAGAAAGAAGCAATGAAAGCAGAATTTAAACCAATTCAAGTGGCAAGAATTTCTTCATCTTCACTTTCAGAAGCGTTCAAGGAATTGATAAAGAAACCACTTTATTCTCAACAAGGTTATAACTTTGATTTAATTAAAGAAAGTGATAGACGTAAATTAGAAAAATCAGATGGTTTTAAGAATGCATGTAATGAAATGATTAAAGATATTGTAAATGATAAAATAAGACTGGAAGAAACTCAAAGCAATATCAATAACATAATTGGTGCAGTTACAAAGAAAGTATAAGCAAACAATGATGAACCTTGGGATATTACCGTAACAACTAAATAAAACTTTAAATATATTTTTCTTTTTTTTATTCAATTATAAATGAGAAGACGTTTCACAAGTCAAAAGAACACAAACGCAAAAGCAGAGATTACGGTTGGTTATAACGTAAATGATGATAAATCACGAATTATTCAAAATGTTAAAGTTAATGTTAGCCCTGAATTAACTCGTGACTTACCGAAAAAGGAGGAGGAGCAAAATAAAGAAGATGGAGACCCAATCATTTTATCTGAACCCGGTAAAGAACCTGTTGAAATTCCCACTTATCCAACATACCCCCCACCTCTTTCATCAAACATCGAGAACCCAGGAATCTACGATTCCAGTCGCAATGCGCCATATAAAATAGACATTAATTCTGAATTAATGAAAATTTACCGTGATATAATAATTAATAATTATGATTCAATAATAAATTTAATTGACCAATCAGGTTTAATTATTTTACCTTATGAATCATTAATTCACATTATCGCCATTCTTTGTGATGTTCAAGATTCAGACGTTAAGATTCAATTTTTCATAGATGATGAGGTTTCATGCTGCGGAACAGTTGCAAAAATAAATCCTATAAAGGATATTAGCACAATTAAGATATCAAAGAACGGAACAACAACTGAACTTCATTTAACATATAATGATATTTATAATAAAATAGTTGATGAATATAAAATATCACTTGAAAAATTCTTTGTTAAGGCTATTTAATATTCAAGCATTAACATTATCGAATAATAATCCTTTGAATCATAATCAATAATAATTGACCTTTCACCGGTTTCTATCGTTTGTTTTATTTCTTTTTGTTCCCCACTATCTGGATCGGTCATTGTAATTGTTTTTGTTATAGTATCAGCTTTATCTTTAACTTCAATCTTTTTTCCATCGGGATATTTAAACCAAAATTCCAAAAATTCGATATTGTCAATCTGTTCATATTTTAATCTATCAATTACATTTTTAATACCATCTGAAAATCTTATGAAATGGTCATTATATGGTTTGATTGAACTAAATTTGAATGAAGTGAAATATAACCCGATGATGAATATGACATTGACTCATATTTTCTGAAAACACTAAAATTTATAACATGAATGAATTTCTTATTCGTTGAATTTATGAATTCTTGAGGTAATCTTATTCTAGTTTTATTTATCACTGGAAAATAACGCTTTACCATATTTTTAATCGTAATAAAAATGTCAATTATCAATATTATTTCGAATAATAACTGTGAATTAAATTTAACAGTTAGCGGAATTTATAATGTTACTCTCGTTTCTGTGAGTGGTAAATTTAATCCCATTCTTTTAGACCCTTCAGATTATATATCATTTATTAAGATGACCATGAAAAAACGTATGATATGTATATAAATAATGTGATACGAAATGGGATATTAACATGATTTTAAGTTATTTAAATGAATCATTTATCGTATGGTATGAAGAAAATTTTAAATCAAAACCTGATAAACTTTTTGAACTTGATGAAATAAATAACCTTATTAAATTCCGCTGAAAATTAAATTTTGTACTCCTCATCTTCGTTCATTGTTGGGGATATTAAATTTTGAAAAAGATGTTGGGGATGTTTTGTATTCTGACACTGGTTCCAATTTCATTTTAATCAAATGTGATAAAGTTAATACCCCAATGAGATTTTCACATCAAACATTAGACCCTAACTCTTACCCATCAATACAAAACATTTTATCCATCAACTTAAACACATTTTCTTTATCATATCCGTTTCAATTATCCGGGAATTCATTTATTCTTCATTCAAAAGATTTATCAAATATTAAATTTAGAATAACTGACCTATTTGATTGTGATTTAGAATTCATGAATGAAATATTATGGCAATTTCAAATAGAAAAAATAGCTGATGAGATAACAGATTAAATATTTATTTTTAAATCATAATAAATGATTAAACAACAGCAACCACAGCAACTTAAGGCACAAAGCACCCAGGTCCCTCAGACCATTACATACGCCATATATGCATATAATTCAAAGACGGCAGAACAAACGCAAAGGTTGAAATATGGAGATTTGGAGATAGTATTGAAAAATGACCATTTCGAATTCGTTTGCAAAGGTGGTGCAGTGATATCAAATATAAAAGAAATTTTATTTATGAATTCTAAAATTAAAGGTATAACGGATGATATAACATCAATTCCACCAGAAGAACAAAGATATTACGCATTAAATGCATTTCCTAAAGTTTTGAAGATTGGAAGATTTAATTTAAATGAGGAATTCATAAAAGGTTTCCTAAATGACATAATGAAGAAAGCAGATAAGGAATATGTTGCTGCTGTGTTAGAGAAGAAAGCAGATAAAACTTATGTTAATGAAAAAGATAATGAAATTAAAGAAATGGTTGAATGGTATCATGAATGGACATCAAAGATTTTAAAAACTAAAGCCGATACAGGATGGGTTTCAGGATGTTTAGACCTTAAAGCGGATAAAACTTATGTTAACGATGAGTTAGAGAAGAAAGCGGATAAGGAATATGTTGCTGCTGTGTTAGAGAAGAAAGCAGATAAAACTTATGTTAATGAAGAAATAAAACAATCAGAGGTCTATTTTACTCCGCCATTTTTAAATTTTATGAAATCATCAGATAAAACCTTTGATATAGATTCCTTTGAATGGATATGTTTCGATGGAGTGACCATGTATTTATTTTATACAGATGGAGTGCTTTATTATTTTAAAACAAATGATTTTAAAAACTATGAATCATTTACTCCATCTGTTTTGAATCCTGATACACGAAAGCCAATCATTAATCCAATAATTTTATATGTTGAATATAATAACGGTAAATTTATGGGAATGATAACGGTTGAAGATGATTTTTGCCCTTGTTATTCATTCGATTATATCCAATGGTTCAAATGTAATTTAAATCAAGATGCTAAATTTAAATATCCAAATAATCCTATTAGATGTGTTAATAATAAATGGGTACTAATTTATGAAGTCAATCAAATTTTCATTAGTGAGGATGGGATAAATTATTATATGTTTAGTATGATGTCATCAGATTTGAAAATTGATTATACAAGTAAGTGGTATTACATTAACAACATGTATTTTATCCTACAAAATGATAAAATTTATAGATCATCTTCAATATCACAAGGTCAATTTGAACAAATTTTTCAAGCTGATGGAGACATTGAAGCTTTATGTTATGGATCAAATGTTTATGTTCTCGTTTCAGGTGAAATGGTCTATTCATATCCTGTAAGTTATAACAGACATATTTATTTATCACAGGATTTATCAAATTGGGAATTGGTTTATTCATTCACTCCAAAATTTACTCAAAATTATAGATTTACAAATTTATTTTATATTGATGGGTATTTCATTGCTTTAGGATGTGGTGATTTAGTAAATATCAGTAGTGATGGAAGAAACTGGTCTGAAATCACAAAATTTCAAGATGTTAGAAAAGCAATTTTCAAAAATAATACGTTAATATTGATAACAAGACCAGTTTTAAATACTCACCCAAATTCAATATTATATAATAAATTCAATATTCATAATGGATTAAATACAATTCTTGAGATGATTTACCCCATTGGTTCTATTTATACGTCAATGAACTCAACAAATCCTTCAGAAGTTTTAGGTTTCGGTATGTGGGAACAGATTGTAGATAAATTCCTCTATTGTGCGAACTCTTCAAAGCAAACAGGAGGTTCGAAGAAAATTACTGAAGCAAACCTTCCACCGCACACTCATACAGGAACTACAAACTTTTCTGGTGACCATAGTCACTCATTAAGAGACCATCCATTATACAACTCAGAATATTATGCTGGCAATGACGTTTTATCTCCAGATTATAACCATTCAGCAAAAAAGACTTTTCGACCAACTGAACCAGGAGGAAATCATTCACATACTTTCACAACAAATCCAACAGGCTTGGGTAAAGATTATATGCCACCATTTATGACTGTATTCGCATGGTACCGCATTTATTTGAATTGTGCTTGAGCCTACTTTGCAGGCTTACCGCGTTCATTGAATGAACTAAATATATTTTATGTTGTAATTAATTAGGTAATGAAGTAAATGAATGAACTGCAGAAATAAATGTTTACGTTAATGTTTACAGGTTATTCAATAATGACTTATTTTTGAAGAACTGAAGGTGCTACCATGTTACCATGTGCTACCAGGTCATTTAACTTCTCTGAAAAAGTGTGACAACATGACATTTTGACAACAACACAGGAGGAAGGCAGTTATGAATTATTTTTGAAGAACTGAAGGTGCTACCATGTTACCAGGTCATTTAACTCATGACATTTTGACAACAACACAGGTTATTCAATAATGAATTATTTTTGAAGAACTGAAGGTGCTACCATGTTACCATGTGCTACCAGGTTATTTAACTTCTCTGAAAAAGTGTGACAACATGACATTTTGACAACAACACAGGAGGAAGGCAGTTATGAATTATTTTTGAAGAACTGAAGGTGCTACCATGTTACCAGGTCATTTAACTCATGACATTTTGACAACAACACAGATTATTCAATAATGAATTATTTTTGAAGAACTGAAGGTGCTACCATGTTACCATGTGCTACCAGGTCATTTAACTTCTCTGAAAAAGTGTGACAACATGACATTTTGACAACAACACAGGAGGAAGGCAGTTATGAATTATTTTTGAAGAACTGAAGGTGCTACCATGTTACCAGGTCATTTAACTCATGACATTTTGACAACAACACAGGAGGATTAATGCAAAAATAAATTCAAATCATACTTTATAAAGCTTCATTTACAGGTATTTCATCGTCAGTAAATGAATCCTCATTATCGTTTGGTTCAACCTGTTTATATAATCCTTTCATTTCTTCTTTCAAAACATAACACCATGTTTGTTTACCGTCTATTCTTCTATGTTTCCTATCACATTTATCCTTAATACTCATTTGAAAGTTTTTGTCTTTCATGTCTGATGGTTTGCAGAATAGAGCATTTTCACACGTCATACCTGCACACAATTCATCATAATGTGTATTTATCCATACATCTAAAGGATTTGTTGATAACTCGATTAAATCTTGTTTGGCTTCAGTCATCGGTATGATTCGTACATTAAATGATGAAAGGTCATATTGCATAAAATACGTCAGTAAATTATCATAAAATTCCTTAGTGCATGAATCCATTAAATTCTTGAAGTAATCAAATTGACCTTTGAATTTACCATTAACCCTTAAAACTACGTATCTTCTGTCTCCAACTTCAATTTTGACAGGGTAGACGTTGTTAGTTACGAAAATGAAGTTTGCAACGTTCTGAGCAGTTCTTCTGGGTTGATTCTTTTCATTAATTCTAATTTGATTATCCGTAATAATTGATTTCAAAGCGTTGAAGTTTGCGAGTCTATCTTCACCAACATTCTTGAGTTCATTAAGTACAAGAAACATTTTATTTTCAACTACTGAGTTGAAATTACCCGTTAGCTCACTTATTTCAGTAATGTTTTTACATGAATAACCAGCGAGAAGTTCAGAATAATATCTGTAAATCTGTTTTTACCTGTTCCCAAGTCCTTTCAAAATAATTGCTGTTTCATTCTTGATTCCAGGATGTTGAATCATTGATGCAATCCAGCCGAGAAGGTATTTATACACTTCATCGTTATTATCACAAATGGCTTCTTTAATGAAATTCATAAACATCTCAATTTTTGAGTAATCAGGCTTTTCAAGAATGTTGTATTTATAACCCTGAAACGTTGAGAAAACATCTGGGGAATCAGATTTAAAGCAAACACCCTTAACGGTTAATGAAGACAATCGATTTAGTAGTACATCCCATGCTGTTATTGTTTTACCTTCTTCTTTAAATAATTTAATCATTTTGAGTGACTCTTTCATGTTTGATTGAAGAACGAATGATATTTGATTCATTTTGTCGTGGATATTATAGTCCTTTTGAATGAAATATTTATTTCCACAATCTACAAAACGGATTACACGTGATAAATCCTCAATTACTTCAGAACTGTTTTTATACTGATGATTTTCAGCCCTGCGTCTAATATCTGTTATCAAAAACGAGTCATCAAGCTTTATATCAAATGTTATTTTTGGCTTACGTAATAAAGGCAAAACGTATTCATCATAATATTCCTTTTGATATAGTTTTAGAATCTTCACTAAAACAAATGGAGAAGTCATTAAATGTGCATATCTACTACGTGCTTTTTCAAAATTACTTTTTGCATTTTCTGTTAAATTGCAGAAGTTATAAACGTTATCGTATGCTTCATTAATTAAATGATTAGGTAACGAATTAATAGCTTGAAACAGTGTGAATAATGTTATTTCTTTTTCTAAATTCATGTTTCCACCGTCATTATGTACTTCAAAATCACAGATGCCATCAACTATGCTCTGGCAAGTTTATCGTCAATGTTTACATCTTTGTTTTCATTCATGATAGTCTTTATTTCTTCGTTCTTCTGTTCAACTCTTACCTTAATATTCAAATCATTTAATATATCGTTTACTGTTCTAGTTAATGTTGAATCATAACTTCCACGAATGAATGAGTATGTTTTGATTGGTTCTGTTGCATTCTTGCGAACTCTTGAATCAGCCATAACCACTAATGAACGCTTTGAATCATCCATAGAAGTCATTATGTCAATATCATAATCATTGCAGGAATAACATTTAATCATTCTGTTCGAAACTGCATAGAAGAAATTAGTGTTGCAATAAATGTGAAGACCTCCTGAAGCGGTTTTAACAATAACATCTTTATCCGAAAGTTTTGATAAAATGTCTTTTCTAACTGTTTCTTTAAGTTCATCATTGTATGATTTATTGATATCAACATCTATAATCGTTAAATTTGAAATTTTATTTGCTAATAAAGCTGTACCAGTTTTCCTTCCTCTTCCTCCATCGTATTTGAGGTAGTTATGTAAATCAATCCTGTTTTCACCAATTCTTTCGTTGAGGGTTTTAGTTTCTGCCACAACTAATTCCTCAGCTAATGAATCAATAACTTTTTCATCAGAAACGATATAGTTGCTGTTGTTGTTTGTTGCTGTCATTTATATAGGAATAAAAAAATAAAAAATAATTTTAAAACTAACTTTATTTTTGGACTGCATCATATTTTCGTAAATGTTGTCAAAATGTCATGTTGTCACACTTTTTCAGAGAAGTTAAATGACCTGGTAGCACATGGTAACATGGTAGCACCTTCAGTTCTTCAAAAATAATTCATAACTGCCTTCCTCCTGTGTTGTTGTCAAAATGTCATGTTGTCACACTTTTTCAGAGAAGTTAAATGACCTGGTAGCACATGGTAACATGGTAGCACCTTCAGTTCTTCAAAAATAATTCATAACTGCCTTCCTCCTGTGTTGTTGTCAAAATGTCATGTTGTCACACTTTTTCAGAGAAGTTAAATGACCTGGTAGCACATGGTAACATGGTAGCACCTTCAGTTCTTCAAAAATAATTCATAACTGCCTTCCTCCTGTGTTGTTGTCAAAATGTCATGTTGTCACACTTTTTCAGAGAAGTTAAATGACCTGGTAGCACATGGTAACATGGTAGCACCTTCAGTTCTTCAAAAATAATTCATAACTGCCTTCCTCCTGTGTTGTTGTCAAAATGTCATGTTGTCACACTTTTTCAGAGAAGTTAAATGACCTGGTAGCACATGGTAACATGGTAGCACCTTCAGTTCTTCAAAAATAATTCATAACTGCCTTCCTCCTGTGTTGTTGTCAAAATGTCATGTTGTCACACTTTTTCAGAGAAGTTAAATGACCTGGTAGCACATGGTAACATGGTAGCACCTTCAGTTCTTCAAAAATAATTCATAACTGCCTTCCTCCTGTGTTGTTGTCAAAATGTCATGAGGTTAGATCTAACCATCTACCCTAAAAATTATTTTTGGTGAATTCAATAAAAATAAATGGTTCATTTACTCACAATATTTTTGTACAAAACAACCCCAAGCTTTTAACTTCTTTTCTGCAGCTTCTAATGCTATCTTAGCGAGTTCATATTCTCTAAATTCTCTCTTTAAATTTTCTTGTTCCCATTGGTCTAGTTCGTATGGAGAATCTCTATAACCATAACATAACTCACGTTCATGTTCTAATTGTTTTTCGCACATTTTTCCAACTTCTTCTTCAAACAAAGGTTTAGCATTCTCTACTGTATCTTCAAGTTCTTCTTCATCTAATTTCTCATGAACTTTCTTGTCTATGGAGTCCATAATATCTTTGACATAAAATGCATACTTTACAGAGCACCATTCAGCAACAAAATGAACGAGGTCAGGATGTATGTAAATACCTTTGAATTCATTTATAACACCCTTAGTAAGCTCATAAAATGCTTGTTTTGAGGTCGAGCCACTTTTGGCTCCACCGTATTCGTTCATCCAAAACTCAAGAATTTCCTGTATTTTAGCACTATTGAGAAATCTGTTTAAATGGTTTAACTTTCCTGCTTCTCTTGCCATCTTTGTTGCATTAATGTAACCATCCTTGTCTCTACGTAAGACTTCAATACCGTTATAAGTGCCTTTTGTGAATGTTTCGCCATTAGATTTGTTAGTGAATGTTTTTGCTTCGACTGACATTTCTGTTCTTACATACAAAATAAAAAAATAAAAATAATTTTAAAACTAACTTTATTTTTGGGTCATTTACACTCATTCCGATGAAGTCATGACAAATCATTTCCTGTGTTGTTGTCAAAATGTCATGTTGTCACACTTTTTCAGAGAAGTTAAATGACCTGGTAGCACATGGTAACATGGTAGCACCTTCAGTTCTTCAAAAAAAGTCATTATTGAATAACCTGTGTTGTTGTCAAAATGTCATGTTGTCACAAACTTTAGAACGGCATAATTTAAATTTTTATTTTTATCATAAATGGATACCCCACAAGCTCAAAATTTACCACGAATCATAACAAGGGAGGAAATGATAAAAATGATGCAAGAACATGTTAAAAATAACAAACCACTAAAATTGAGAAAATGTGGTTATGCAGTAATGATGGAAAGAGAGATGTTGTCAAAGAGGAATAAAAATTAAATTTGGATTGAGTTTAAAAATTCATCTTTATTAAATTCATCTCTTCCAATCAATTTATTTATTCTATTAAATTCTTTTATTTTTGCTTCACTCAGTTTAAGGATTGAACGGTAAGTTTCTAATTTTTCGATTATTTCTTTATCGTTTTCAGTTCCATTAGTTTTATGGGCATCAACCCCACCGCATTGTGGCTTTTTTTGTAATAGCATATTTTTGATTTAATTCTGTTTAGTTTCTTTTTATATTCATCGTCTGGACTCTTGACTGCTTCGTTGTCACTCATTTCTTACGAAATAAAAAAAATTAAATATTATTTAAATATAATGGAGTAATAAAATAAATCGGAATTTCTATTAATTTATTGTCAACTTCAACTAATACATTACCGTTAATATATCTAACAAATTCAGCTATTGTGTCAAATCTTCGTCTTCTTTTTGTCATTGATTTATCAGTTTTTCCATAATCGAGATGAATAAAACTTTATCCCCTTGTTTAAAATTCATGAGCCCCGAATTAATTTGTTCACGTTTAACATCATTCAACCTTTCCATTTGCTTTCTAATATATTCCCATTCTTTTGAAATATCATTTTTCATTTCCACTGGTTTCATGTTTATAGTTCTATGCCATGTATTATTATAATAATATACTAACTGTTGTATGATGGAGTCATGATTTCCATCCCAGTATATCTGACCGTTAACCCCTAACGCATCTCTAAGAGTTCTCATTACTGCATCAACTATTTTATTATGAAACGTATATGGAGAGGATGAAAAGAAAAAATTAATTTGTGGGAAATAATGAGTCATAGCTGCCTGAAATCCTTTATCACCATCACCCCTGATATTATCTACTCTTTCATGATCTAGTAAGTATTGTATAGCTCTTCTTGTTTCCTGTTCTGTTTTCCCTTTCACCGGAATGCAATATAAATATCTAGTGTTAATGTTAATGGCAAATAAATAAGTAACTTTTCCTTTTGAATATTCCAGATGATCGATTTCGTATGAATATGGATATGGAGCAAATGAAGGGCGACTAAATTTTTCCTTTAACGGTTGAATTTTCGGGTCAATTGGTTTATTTAATATCTTGAAATCCTTTTTAAAATCTTTTTGCTTCTTTAATGTTTGAAATGGATATAATAAAGTGAATGATGAAGGATTAACTGAAGGAGGAGGCGGTACTGTCGTTGGAGGTTTTGGTGTTGCAGTGGTTTAATTTTATCTGCTTTGATTTTGGATTTCATTCCCCCTTCATTAATTCTGGATGTATTCTATTCATTTGTTTTAAATATGCTGTATATAAAGGTTTGATATACTTTCCCGCTTCGAGTTTATGTTGAAGGATGAATTCCAAAAGTTGATCTTCATTTAAAAGTCGGGCTGAATATGGTTTAACTAATGAATCATAAATTAAAGCTTGTGCATCATTTATGGTCTGAAGGACATGGGTGTTTTGTGGCTCAGGATTATATAATTTATATAATTCATCAATATCTTCTTCTGTTAATACTTTATTTTTGAAATCTTTCAACTGTTTAAGTTGTGATTTAGTTTTTCCCTTTGAATATTCATTATTTTTAATTTTGTCTTTAATTTTAGAAATTATTTTATCATGATATTTCAAAATTTCATTTTTATAATATGGATAATAATATTCCATATCATCACCCGTTATATTGTTATCATATTTTTGGAGATATGCTTTTAAATCATAATAATCAAGAAAATTTTGATTAAATACTAAATCATCAATTAAAATTTTTAAATCTGTGTTATCCATTTATATAAAAATAAAATCAATGTTTTAAGGGTGCCCACCTCTTTGTCTCTTCTGTGGCATTTTATTAAAAATAAAATTTTAAATTGTATTAAATATAATGGCATACAACATCCATTTTCACAACATACAGCCTTAGTGTGTGCTCCTGTTATGCAGTCTTACCAATTGTTAAGCGAGTCATTGACCCGTTTTAAGTTGTAAATTAATATTCTGACCATCAAATATCAATTTATCATTTATTATATCCAAATATTTTTTAGGTGTTAATTGTTTATTTTGTCGTAAACTAACACCTTTCATTTTTTGTGCAATCTTTTTAAAATCACTCCCATCAATTGAACCGTTGAATGATGTATAACACTTAGGACATAAAGCAACCATGTTATCACCTTGTTTCTCAATTGCTAAACCCAATAATTTTTTCTCATGTGCTTTTTCTTCAGCTTTATTCTTTAATTTAGGTTTAAATTTCTCATCAAAACAGAAGAAATCAAATGGTGCGAATTTGAAAATGTTTTTATCATAAAATTGTTTATCGGTTACAATTACTTGAAATGCTTGAGTGTTAGGAAGATTTGGATCACCAGCGATTGCCCAATAAGATGAATCAGTATCACCTTCAATGAAATGAAAACGATTAACATTCATACATTTATACATAAAATCATAAATGAAAACCAAATACCAGTATTTAGCATTATCTAAAGTGAAGAATGCCTCTTGTAAACATGTATCACATCTATAAAATCTATCTTTGAGCATCACTTGATATGTATCTTCACCTATTTCTCTTATGTTTTTAAACTTATTTGACATACATGCAACGCGTGCCTTCTGTGCATTCATTATTTTAGTCTTTGCGTAATTTTGTGTATTCATTGCATCGTAACCATATGATCCATTAAGTGAAATTTTGCAAAATAAACTTTTTCCTTTATTTCCTTCTAATTCAGCCTTTTGTCTTTCGTTCATAAATTCGTTCGCAAATTCATTAAAACAAGTGTTTTTTAGTAAATGTTAAAATTGATTGAATGTCATCAATGATAAAATGAAATCTGTCTATTAGATACCAAAGATAATAAGAAGAAAATGGTTGATATTGGTTGTGTGTTGATGCTAACTGAGTTAATTTTCTCTGTTTCTGGTCAACCGGTAGATTGTTTGATTTCATGTAATTATACATAAAACTGCCAATTGTTTTTTCATCTGTGATAATATCTAAGTTTCTTATTATCGGTAAAAAGTTTATGTAATCATTAATGTATTTTTCATCAATGTGACCCTTTACTTCAGCCACGAATAAAGTATTTTTCTTCTTAATTATTCCCAGTGCTTTTGCTTTCTTTGTTGCTGTATCACAAATGATAACACCATTCAATCTTCCCGGCATATACATTTTATGGTCAGTATATTGAATGAAATCATGAGGATTAGATGAAAATGATGAAGGATATAATGAATTAAAGTCAACACCAACGAAATGAGTCATAATGTTGGTGGTGTCCTCATTTGATACAGTTTTAGTTTCTGGACTATATGAAAGTTTATTAATGTGCGTGATTCCTTTAAGATTTACTCTATGTTGAACATTTGATAAACCACCAGTAATTCCATTACGGAGAATGTGATAAGCTTCAACCGAATCTAAAGTCATTGGTAAATTATTTTTTAATGCATAATTTCTTAAATTGATTCTTAAACGTTGAACATCTTCATCTTTATTTGATTTTACGACATTGCAATAACAACACATTAACTGACAATTTTCTTTGGTATGTGGTTTTTCATTATCGATTCTATCCAATGTTGGTTTATTTGCATATGTAAACGCTTTACCACACATTTTACATTTAGATGAAAGGATTAAATCGTGATAGTATTGAAAATCATCCATTGAAACATTATTTTTAGTATCCCTTTCTGCTTTTTCATCTTGTTTCTTATATGATTCAATTTTATATTTCCAATACTTTTTCGTTAATTCAAAACTTGATTCTATCTCTTCCTCGGGATATTTTTCATTAGGATTAAAGTCTTTATATGCTAAAGCGTAACGAATCATTGAAGCATTCGATGATAAAGAAAGATTATGAAGCATGTCAATTTTATAAACAAATGTTTCTTCAATAATTTTATCAATTGGGTCAATCATAATTTCAACATCTTTATTACAATAATGAATAAAATATTCTAATCTATTCTTAAAATTTTTAGCATCATTGAGATATATTTGATAATCACTATCTGATATAGTTTCTTGAGTTAATGCTGAATAAAATGAATCTTTCGGGAATGGTTCCACTTTATATAATTCTTCTTCGTAATTTTCCCACGTGATGAATTGATAAGGGAAAAAGGATTTAACACGTGATTTATTGTTTCCGAAATCTTGAGTGAATTGGTCTAATGTCCCACCCGCTATATAATTTCTGATGTCAATAAATCTCAATTCATATGGAACGTTTGTTTTCTTTACAATGATTTGCTTAAATTGTGAAGATGAACCCAGCATTGATTTTATTTTCCATTTTGCAGTATTTAAATCACGAAGAATTAAATTTAAATCAAACTTTCCTGAATTAAAACCAATGATATTCACTTTATTGAATTCCTCATCTAGAAGTTCTTTAAATGCTTCCTTCTGTTTTTCATTTAATGTATGAGACAAAGTCCCCGCCGTTTGGTCCGTTTGCGACTTCATTAATTCATTGTATTGACTCATATTTGATTCAACAACTAATGAACAGGTTGAAAATAAAAACTCAATCCAATCAGAAATAAAAGAATCACTCGAAGTTAAGCAAAAATTCCTCGTATATGTTTTATCGTTTAATTTAACCGTTGATGATACCATGAATGGTTTTAAGTAAGCGTTCAAAGTTGCACACTCAGAAAGTTGTAATTCTTCTTTAGTCTCTAATGTTTCGAAGTCAAAAGTAATATAATATCTTGTCGGTTTATAATATTCCTGCAAATTATGTGCTAATAGCCATTGATATATCTTCTGTTTCGTGATATGTGGTGTATATGGTTGTTGTGTGTTTTGCAATTGAACGTCTTGAATTAATCTTCCATTATTTTCTTTACATTTCTCACAATGTTTTAAAAATCTTCTTTGGTTTTTCCTTTCTGGATCATCACGGATAGAATATACTTCTTCTTTGCAAAAGGGGCAAACTTTATATCCTGTGAGTGCTTCAACATCTGTTATTCTGTCAGCGTGAAGTTTTCCACATGGACTCTGTGTTAATAAAATATTTACTGTTTCAAATTCTGGATCTATCATTATTGATTCCACTAATGGAAAGTCTACCTTGTTAATGTCTACGTCTTCTGGTTGAGGGTCACAATAATAAAAATCAATATTAACGTTTAACATTCTTGCTAACCTCTCACTTTCTGATGAAATGTCAAATCCTTCATATGCATCTATGGCTTCATTTAAATAACTTCTACGAGTTTTAGGATTAACACCATCAGGAATGTTATAGAAGCGTTTAAATAACCTTCTACCTTCGGCTCTTATTTGATTATCATTCATTTTAGCTGTTCCATTTTTATTCATTTATGTAAGAATAAAAATTAAAAAATAAATAAAAATAAAGTTTATTTTTTTTAAAGTCCGAGACTCAGAGAGTCCAGGGCTAAAGCCCATAAAATGAATTAAGAACACATAAATTTTTATCATCTGCGACGTGACGAATACATTTTAATTTACTCAAGAATGCGTACCCTGATACATTAAATCTAATTCCTGTCTTATTTAATTTCACAACTTTGAAAAGGAATGTATGAATAGCTATAAAATGATGAGAAGATGTTTTATGGGTTGCTTCCATTTTTTCTGAAATAAATGAATAAATATAATGTTTATAAGTTTTCATATCTTTTATGTTCTTAATAACGAATGGTATAGACCTTTCAACTTCGTCTTCCTTCGGTGCTGTTCTTTCATATGAAACATTATTGGTATCTTCAATAATGAAACCACAATCGCATAAAATTTTATATGTACCAATTGTTTCTTTTGATATTTTATCTAACAAATCAAAAACTTTATCAACACCTGTACATTTATTTAAATAATAATTTGTGTAAATATCATGGTCTTCTTTCTTAATCGTATTTGTTGCATATGTTACATTTTTCAATGCTTTTTTGAATTTTTCAGAATCAAGAGGAGGTGAAAGTAATATACATGGATAATCTCCATCGTCAATAAACTGAAGCTTATGTTTATGAATAAATTTTGTGCCTTCTTCTGAAAGTGTTTCGTCAATATCACCATCTAATAAATTTTTAGTAGATTCCAAAAAGTAATTTTTATATCTTTCCTCATGTGATTTTTGAACTTCTGATTCTGAAGCTGGGATATTCATTAAACCCTCTACTTCATTCTCAGCATTTCTCAATTCCTTAATTTTTTCATCTATTTCATTTCTTAATTGTTCCAATTTCTCAATCTCATCGTTATAATATTCATCTTGTTTAATTTTTTCTTCAAAATATTCAGGAGGTGTTTCAAGGCTCTCTGAGCCCAGGTCCTCTGGACCATAAAGAGGAATATTCTTCTGTTTTTCAACTTTTTTGGGATATAAATATCTCATTATAGCCTTTTTAGTAATTGGCCCGTTATATTTAAATTCATTCAACAATCTGGAAAACTCTTTCACATTCTGCATATATGTTGGATAAGAACCGTCTCCAAAATTTTCTAAAATATTTTCTAATTCTGAATTAGTGAACTTTAAAGATTTCAATGAATTAGTTGTTATACTCATTTATTATAAAATAAAAAAATAAATTTAACTTAGTTTTAATTTTACGTAAGAAGTCAATTTTTTAAATCTTAATTTATTCAAAAACGTGAGAATAAAAACCGTAAGAATCATACATTTTTTACTTCATATGTTAAAAAAAATGATACAAAATCGTTCAATATTGTATGAATTCTTACGTTTACAAAAAAAGTCACACAACCCGTCCACATATACTACTATGAACAATGGCCTTCCAATGAATTTTCCCTTACAATCAGAGTAAGATATAATGAAAGATATGCATACAAATCAAAAGTTATCAAATTTGATAATTCGATCAAAAAACTCAAAATTGGAAGGAGTCAACTCAAAGGTGCAATATACGCTGCCACTGCAGGATATAAAGTTTTACTCCAGCATGGATCAACATCCGTTCAGGTTAAAGCAGAAATGGGAGGCAAGAATTATACATTATTAAAGAATAATGTTGTCGCGTTTGATTTCATCGAAGCTGGAAAATTATATTGCATTGGAAATGAAGAAATAACAGCTATTGTCTTTGATTTATCTGATTTTGAAGCAGATGATTATGTGTATATGACTGGTAATGTAAAATTATCGATTGGAACAACAAATGATTCACAATATAAATTCGATCCAACAAAGACACTTATAATTGTTGCCACAACATTTGATGGAAACGGTGATTTAACTCATTTCTCATCTAATGATTATGATGATGAAAAACTCAGCATTAAATACTACGACATTGAAGGAAACAATATAATTCCCTCGATGAAGGCTTTACAATCTTACGATAATTTCAATACCATAGAAATTAAATGTTCAGATCTAACATATCAATTTAATCTAAATTATGAAATAAAATCATCTTTGGATAAAGAAGCAATATTAATTAACTCAAAAGTTGGTTCCCATAAATTTGCATCTGATACCACAAATCCAGAACCAGGTCCTAACCCAGGACCAAATCCAGAACCAAAACCAAAACCAGGTCCTAACCCAGGACCAAATCCAGTTTCTAATCCAACACCTAAAGAAGATGAAATTACAGGCGGGAAAACAGGTGGTGGAAATGGGGGAAAGATTGCTGGCGCAATAATTGGTGTATTAATCGTCATTGCAATTGTCTGTGTTGTCATTTTCTTCGTAATGAAGAAGAGGAAGGCTTCTGAAGAAAAAGAGTCAAATGATGACCAAGTACATGAAGATACATCAATTGATGATGCAGTTGGAGTTTAAAATAAAAATTAAACTCAATAATGAATTAAAAAAATTATTAAAATAACTTTTTATTTCTATTTTTATTACTCTGAGAACTAAGGGTGCAATTACCACCATCTTACATTCTCTCAATTTTTTGGCAACCAAGTTTGATACCCCATTTTTCTAAGGTAAAGGTTAATATTTTTGGTTAGGAAAAAGTTCTTATAAATCATTATATCGTAAGTAATATAAATATTATACTTTTTTGTTATTACAATAAAGATAAGATCAACTATGTTAAAGATCAAAAAAATATAGAAAAATATGGTCAAAAAAAAATTCAATTTTACTAAGAGCGTATTTAAAAGGTTCAATTTTAAGAACTTTATGTAGTTTACTTCTTTCAAGCAGAATTAAACAGCATCTTAAAGTTATTCGTTGCAATTTGCGTGATTAATTGTGAATTTTTTGTTGTATATTTGTTATACATTAGTTTGTAGACAAATTCATCATGTTAATGTTTTCATCTCAATTTGTTTTTGCTTTGTTGATGATACATCAACTTATTGAGTTAATAGTTACAAACTTGTTTTATGAACAGCGGTAATATTTAGAGTGTTTTAATCATATCTATGCTTTCAGTTATTTGCATTACTTTTATAACTGAAGTATGTAAAATGACTTTTTCTCGAAACCAGTCTTCCAAAATATGCAACAATTAAAGATTAATTGCATTGCAGTGATTTACCATTTGAAAAATTCAAAGTATATAGCTATACAATATCCTTTATTAAGCTTTATATTTTGAAAGAAAAAAATGATTGGGTATATTCTTATTAAGTACAAATGATATCGATTTTAAATTGGATATGTCAATATATGTCAACATTGGTTCTGACATTAAGGGTGCCGGAAAGTGAAGTGAAAGCTATTATAAAAACAACACTTTTCAAACTCATAAAATCATTTTTATTTTGATTTGTTTATATGAGTATAAACCTTAATTGATGATGCATCATAGTATCATATTTGAACTATGTAAAATAGATGTTTAAGAATATAAGGTAATCAAAAGCACACAAAAATCATATAACATTTTTAAAATCTAGAAGGGAAAAAGTGCTTTTATCTCAACATGAGAGAATTGAAAATATAATTTGTTCACTAAAACTTTTAGTATAACTATTGAAATTTTGTGTTTAATGTATCTCATTGGCTTAAACACAATATTGGAGGACTAGATACAAATCTAATTAAACTTTGAATGAGACTATTTCGACTGGAAACCACTACCATTGAGTTTGTTCCCTAATGGTAATTAGCAGAATCTAGTGAGATGGTAGTGTAATCGGTCTTAGTTTTGAAGTTACCCACTGATTGCATCTCGACATTTTTTAACAAGTGCCAAATGTTTTCTGTAAAATATCTAGTATATTGTACCTAGATGTCATTTCTGCAGTATCAGCCCCTGCCATGGAAAAACCAGGGACTAGATAGGTCCGCAAGTTCGAAAATTGCGAAGCAGTTTTCTTCATCCTGGAAGTATCTAAGACCTCAATATCATAGAATTTAAAACCTTAGTATATACCCTACTAATATATGTTTCAATTTCATTAATATCATTACTACAAATGAAGTTATGAGCAATACTCGAAACCTTAACGTAATCACTAAGTACTAAACTACTATGCATGAAGAAAAACTTCAATCTCTCTCCACAAGTAAAGGAAGTGTGGCATTTTATATTACTGAGAAAAATCCGATTGAATTGTTCATCAATTACGTATTTTTTGATGACATCTTTGCAGAACACTGCACACATTGTTAATTTGTAAAATTGAAAATTTGATAATTTTTTATGAAAAAGAACCGTTGTATTTCATTTTGAATTGATTATGTTTTTGCTATTGTACCTGGCAGTATCTAAACAAAATATCTGTTCCACTGCGTCTAAAATTTATAACTTCAATAATGTGGCATATAAATTGAACATCAATGATAAATCTTTTTGCATTAAATTCGATTACCAAAATAATATTCCAAAAAATAACATTTTATCAATGAATTTTGCATCCCCATACAACTACACAATAGAAGTGTATGACTCAAACAACTCAGAAATCAAATTTAGCACAACAATTCGATCTTCGACAGTTATTCTAAATCAAACCAAAGGTTTTATTAAATTTACACCATCTGATACTACGTGTAATACCACTAAATCTATTGTTATGAAAAAAACAAAAATTACCTGAAATATCAGAAATACTTTATCAAAACAAAAATACATCAATATCAAGAGATATGCCCTTGAAATGAGTTCTGGTGTCAAAGTAGCGGTCATTATCATTGCAGTTTATGCTATTTGTGGACTCATTGCATTTATTATTTTTTGTATTGCTATTTCAAAGCATCCGGATAGAGCAATACGTTTTGGATGTCTATTTTATTGTTGCTATTCGCGATTCCCTGGATTTTTCAGTGCAGCATTTGATTATTATTATATTCAACAAGATCACGAAGCTGATTGTGCATATCCATTAGCACAATACATTCTTAGCTGTTGGATCTGTGAATGTTGTGGTTGCTGTGACTTAAAATGGCCTTTTTGCCCACATGAAAGAGCAATTTGTGATGATGTACTTATTCATTGTGATTATTGCTGTGGCTGCACTTGCAAATGTAAGGATGATGAACACTGCTGCAAGGAAGTATGTTGCTTCAGGATTTCCCATGATGAACACACTCGGTGTCGTTGTCTTCAATGCGATGAGTTCTGCCCATTATGCACAGAAGGTGAATATTGTTTTGAGTGTTTCTGTGCAATATTCTTCTTTATACCTTACATTCTATATTCATTGGCTGCATATCTTTTGTTCCCACTAACGCTATTGTGTGTTTCATGCGCTTCAGGCGGTAATGCAAACAAGAGGGAGAAATATTTCGAAGAAAATAAGGATAAAATAATAGAGGAAAGTGAAAAACGAAAAGCAGAGTATGCAAAAATGACTCCTGAAGAAGCTGCCAAAGCAAGGAAGGAGAGAAGGAGTCAACACAATCAACTAATAATGAAAAAACGACAGGAAAAATATGAAAAACAGCAGCGAAAGCTACAAGGTCAAACGCAACAGGCAGCCCCTCAAGATTTTAATCAAAATCAGCAACAACCTGGACAGTACTATATTCCTCCACAACAAAATGGTCAACAGCAGCCTGGTCAGCCTGCTCCTTATGGATATTATGCACCACCTCCTCAGCAACCTGGTCAGCCACCTCCTTATGGATATTATGTACCACCTCAACAACAACCTGGTCAGCAACCTGCTCCTAATGCTTATTACCAGCCTCCTCCACAGCAGGGAGCACCACCTGGTTATGCATATTATTATCAATATCCACAGCAACCAGGACAACAGCCCCCACAACAATATTTGCAAGCGCCTCAGCAGCCTCCTCAGCCACCACAGCAACCTCCGGAAAATAAAAATCCGGAATCAAAGTGATAGAAATCAAAATTAGCAATAAATTTTAATTTGAAAAATCGTAAAAGTGAACTTTCTACTGCTTTTCATCCTCTCAATTTTTTGACAATCACCAATGAATAAGCAAATAAAAAATTGAATCTGTGGAAATAGACTGTAATAAAAAATTTGAGCGTCATGCATCGACTTTAATTCAAAATGACTTTTAATTGAGGAAACTGCAGTTCATGAATTATAAAGTTTCTTATTCCAATAAACTATCCCACTTCCTGACATTCTCTATCTCAATTTTCTAAAGTAAAAAGTTAATATTTTTGGTCGGAAAAAGTTATTATAAATCAATATATAATGCATAACATGAGTATTATACTTTTTTTTTTTGTTATTCAAATAAAGATATATTGATAATATGAGAGTATATCATAAAGTGATAAGTGCACAATTAAATATTAGAAAAAAAAAGCAATTTTTATATAAAAAAATCTTATGATAATTTTATTTAGGTTGTACTTGCTTAGCTAACCATTCTTCAGGTGAATCACTTCCTGTGTTAATTCCTGCCATGAGAAGTGCAGCCTGGAGATTATCGACTTGCATAATTTCGTCTTCCATCTCTTCTCCGAATAAAATCCAGTCATTCTTTGTTTTCGCTGGTTCTTCAACAACTAATGTTCGAACATTCATTGCTGTCTTCTTCTTATCTTTGTTCGAAACAACTAATTCGCCACCATTGAAGACAGGATCGATTCCACTATCATTATACAACATTTCGAAAGCTCTTGAAATGAAGATAATGAAGATCAATGATGACTTTGCATCTTTGAAGTTGTTTGCTTCAGATTTAACCAACAAATTCTTTAACATTTTGATTTTAACTGCATTAAACTCTTCAGGATACAATGTCCACAATGCCAATGCTGCAGCATCTTCAGGATCTTGTCCAGTAGATAACAATCTCTCCATTTTCGACTCATATGATTTTGTGTCTTCTCCAAGAGCAATGAAACCAGCGTGAACTAAGAAAGGAATCAATGCAACAACATTTGGAACACTTCCACCACCATTTCCAAACGAAATGTTCGTATTTGTGGCGAAATTCTTTATATGAGTTGTTACATCGAACCAAACTTGTCTGAAAACATCGCTCGTATTTGTTTCATCTCTTACGTAACAATTGAGTTTTGACAAGTAATCACTGTCTGTCTGTGAAGGTCCTTGTAATGGGAACATCGCGTTACATGGTCTTTCGCAGTTTCTGACCATTGCTGCTTCCCATTCGTTCAATCCTTGTCTTCCTCTTGTGTCTTTCGTTTTCGCTTTCATGTGGCAGTTTTTATGGACCAAAACGAAATGAGTTGCAGTGTTTGCGTAATCACCAATCTTATTGGAGTAGACGTAGAGAGATAATGGTTCATCAGGTCTTTCTTCGAATCCTTCCTTGCAAATTACGCATCCCCATTCGGAATCATCTCCTAAATCATTGAGCATTTTGAGGAAATCGTTGTTTAATCCCTCATTTGCTTTTGCGATTGCGATTTCTCTGTCTTTTTGGGCTTTGTCTTTCGCTTCTTGTTCGAGTTTCGCTTTGATGTTTGATATAATGTCTTTAATTGTTGATGGATCTTCTGTTGCATTCAACAAGACATTATTTGCGAATTCGCCAATGTTAGTTGTAGAAGCGACTCCTGAAAGAGAAATGAGGAAGTAGATTCTCTGGCAGTCATTAACAATAAACTCTGATTGCGCTGTATCATATCCTCTGACTAGACCGGCTAGCATCTTAAGAGAACTTGGAACTCCGTCGCATTTAACTCCTTCTTGCCATTCCGGAGAAGTGACACTTTTATCGGCGGGGAACTTCCCCATTAAATAATTGAATGCTTCATCGACCAATTTGTGTTTCATGAGCAAACTACGGACTTCGTTTCCTTCTGTTGTTGTAGGAATTGCTAATGTGAATTCGGCAAATCCATTCAACATGAAAAGAGATTCTGGCTTATCAAACAAATTGATGTTTTCGTCTTCTTTGTGTTTGATTCTCTCCATGAATTTGTTAAGTGTCTTCTCCATAATTTGCTTGGATTTAGAAGCCAAAGATGGAACTAATGAAAGCAAAGGAGAAACCAATTTGTTGTTGTTCCTTACAAGATCACTTTCAAGAGCATTGAAGATGAAATCAATCTTTGATTCTGGATTGGAAAATTCTTCAGTTTCATTTGTCAATTTTTGTAAAATTTCCAAAATTGAATTGAACAAATCGCAATAATTTGTTTTGACGATTTTATCCAGCATGCTAAACAACTTATCAACTCCATTCAACTTCAACAAAGCAGCTCTGTTGCTTGGAACATAAACAAAGGCTGTCAATAATTTGGCCAATGATTCTAAAGATTTGAATGGTAAAGAAATTTGTGTAGCATCAATTAATTGAGATAAACCGCCGGATTCAATCAAAGCAGTTGTGTAAGAGTATTTTGTAGCTGGGTCTTCTTCGTTTTCTTCTGATCTTGGGAATGAAGTTATCATTGGTTCTGTTGCTTCACCAGACAAACCTTGTATTCTGCAAATGACGACCATTGGAGAGTTATCTTCGTGGTTTTGGAGCCAAACTTTGTTGTAAACATCTTCAATTTCCAAATCCAAAGAAATAATGTTGTTGTTAACCAATAATTCCATTCCGTGGTCATCTTCTATAACTCCTGGCATTCCTAAGTCAGTGCAGATCTTGTTCTTTATGTGTCTCATGAGCGTACCGATCTTTGCCGACATAACAGGTGAAGAAGGAAGTCTTCCAGGAAGGAAATCTTCGTGTGGAGGGAACTTTTTAGTAACAACTGGACAATTCTTCGCAATTTTCGGTGGAAAAACAATGTTACATAATTCTCTAATAGCTACTTCTGGACATAAATTAACACATTGTGCAGCAGCTTTCATCATTAGTTTAGGACCGTTTTCGTTGTTGCTCTTTATTTCTTCTATTTCTTCGTTTTGTTTCTCTGGAGAAGGAGGTGGAGATGGCTCTGCTTGTATTGGTTGTGTTGTGTTGTCTTGTTCATCGTCAATGTCGCCGTAATCATCGTAATGATCTGAATAATTGTCTTCGTCTGGATTGATGTCTTCCATTGATTGTGTGGCAGAATTTGACACTGTAAAGTTCTCAAAAGTTTGATTTTGAATGTCAGAAATATCATCATTTTTATCTAAACTGAATTCCTTTGACATCATAAGCATTGCGAATTCCTTAAGAGAGTTCAGAGAGTCATCCAAGTGCTTTGATCTCTGTACAATCAAACTGCGGAGTTTGAAATAAGAAACAATCAATTTTTCTGCAATTTCCGGTTTTTTAATGATGATAAATCTGGAAATTACTTGGTTCCTCGTGAAACAAAGGATCAAATTAGTAATCTGTTTGATGCCAATACCAACATTTAAGTCTAAAACTAATTCACCTTCAGTTTTGACGGTTTTGTCAACTTCATTTTCCAAAAAGTGACAAATTGTTGTGAAGAAACCATCATGGAAAGCTTTGTACTTGATCTGCTTGTCTGTGTTCAATATCTCTTGGAGAAGATTATAAAGTTCAATCTGCTGTTCACTGAAATATTTGAATTCTCTCAAAATTTTCAATGAGTTCTCATAAATTTTGAGTTTAATTTCATGTGAAATTTCTGAAGTGTCTTTTAATAAGCAGCTGAAGATTTGGCGGACAGACTGGTTTGTGCATTCAACCAATAACACTTTCATTAGTTTTTCATCGAACAAATCCAAGCAAAGTGTATAATTTCTTTTGAGATTGATTTTTGACGAAAATTCCTTCAAAATCTTGTATTTCAAGTATTTCTCTTTCTGTCTGATAATCAATGGTGACTTGCAGATGGATTCAAAGATTGGTTGAAATACAAGTGAAGTGAAAGAAGGAGATGAAGTCAAAAATTCAAAACAATAATTCAAACAGTTAACTAAAGTTTCTAATCTCTGTTGTTTGTATCCATCATCAATTTCCTGTAGAGAACAAACTAAATTAACTAACGCTGGACTTGGATTTGGAAGATTTTGTTTGAAAAGTGACAAAATGTTATTTGTCAGATTTATATTAATTTTACAATAATTTGTCAAACTCTTGATTGAAGTCGATCCAAACAAAGGATCATCAGAGAAAGAAATGAGCAATTTCGGTATTTCAACTTGCTGCAATATAGTTTCTGGTAAAGTGGTCAGTTCACCTAAGAAGTGAAGTGAATTAAGAAGATAAGTTTTTCTGCAATTATAACAAGAATTAAAATCAGCATGCGACAAACTATTTGTTATTCTATTCTTATATTTTCCAACAGCACTTCTTATAGAGCAAACATGTTGTACAACTTGTGTCAACTGGTTGAAAAGATTTCGGCACTTTTCATTATACAAATCTTGCAATTTATTTGTTTTTTCTGACACTGTCAAATTATTTGTTGGTGAAATAACATTATCAATATCTTTCTTGTAATTGGATAACTGGCTGAAGTATTTATGTGCTTCAGCGAGTAGTTCGTCAGCTTTTGACAAACTCGTGTCGCACTCATTTTCATTAGAAATGTGAGTGTGAGAGAAAGATCTTATTGCTGTAACATGTGTTTCGAAATTACAATATGGACTTGATCCGCATTCAGCGCAAAGGAAACCATCCAAATGTTCATAGTTTGTGTATCTGCAATCCCTGCATTGATAAATGTTTTCATGACAGTTTGGACATAATCCGGACCTTGGATCTGGTTTTCCATTATGACAAAGTGGACATGAAAGTCTTTGTCCTTCTGCTTCTTCCCAAAATTCTGTATAATGGAATTGAATACACGTGGCAAATAAACTCAAAGGAAAATCAACTTTCGCTGTATTAGAATCCCTTTCGAATTCTAAATCACAGACATGTGACCATTGTGGTTTCTTCGATTTCAGTTCATTTGGATCATTCAATTCTTGTGAACTGACATAGACTTCAACAATTCGAGGTAATCTCGTTGTTTTCTTCGCGTAAAAATTCAAATCAATACTTTGTAAAATTAACGGTGTATTGAATTTGACAAATAATTGGTCGTGTGAGAATTTGATGAATTCTCTGATGTCTGATAACATATATCTTGTTGCTTTGATCTCTGGATTGTTGCAGATCATACATGGTCGAGTATCTAAATATGATGCTGGGAAATCTATGTATTGGGAGATCTGCGAGTAAAGGAATGAATTGGGAAGCTTCTTCAAAGAATTGGTTTCGCAAACTATTGAATTTTGGATTGATTTAATTAAATCAGCAGATTTGTCGCCAAGTTTAGGAACTAACTCTTTCAGGAAGGAGAAAAATGTTTCACTATGAGATCCGCAGTTAGAAACTTCGGGAAGAATCTTCGGAATTTCGGATATAATTTCTTCATAATTTAATAAGAGCAATTTGCTGGATTCGTCTCTCAGAACAGGAAGAGATGATGATATAAGCAACTGTAGTAGGAATAATATCAAATCATGAGTTAATTTCACTTCACCGATTCTTAATAAAGTAACTGTTGCAACAATGAAGTCCTGGTTGTATCCGCTGGTAGCTATGGAACATAGTATTGTTGATAGTTCGGAATTTTCGTGTAAATAGTTCACCCAATTTTGAGGTCTGATAATTGAGATGTCGTTGAGGCCTTTGAGCTGCTTGGAGAGGGTTATGGAGTCTGAATATGATAAAGAAACAGAGAATTTGTTCGATGTCTTGTAAAGTTCTTCGATAATTTTGACAAGTGAAGAATAACATATTTGGTCTGAGAATTTGAACGCGGCATCTTCATTTCCTTTGAAAAGAAGTATAAGAGCGGCTTCCCCGGCTTGTTTCGTAACTCCACTGACAGCAAAAGGTTGAATTAGGTTTTTGAACTCAGAAAGATTGGATGGTAATGCAACAGGAAGTATTCTGATGAGGACACGAAGAACAGAAGCTGAGAGAAGAGTCTTCATATCTTGAAAAACATTGAGTGGAGAAATAAATTCCAAACTCAAAGGTAAACAGAAGGCAAAAATGTTCGGTTCTGAAAAATCAGCTGTAGCAATAGTCTTTTCTGTATCAGAAACGATCTCGAGTTGGAATAATTTAAATAATAATTGAAAAGCATGGTCTGAAACGAAATTATGAGGGAAAAACTTCTTGTCTAGCTTGTCAAGAATGTGAGCGGCGACACTAAGTATTCCACAAATGAAAGGTAAAACAAATGGCTTAGAATAATCTGACTTTTCGATATAAAATAAAAATTGAGTGAATAAATATTCGATTCTACCTACTTCTAGTTCTAAATCTGTTGTAAGCTGTTTGACTGAAAGCGAATAAATTAAATATAGCCATTTATAAGAAGAAAGTGGACTTATTTTCTCTTCTTCATATGGCATTGTGCCGTTAAGTGGTGCAAGAGAGATAATATCTTGAAAGGCTATAAGAGAATATTGAGGATTTAAATTATTTGAATGAAATAAAGAATTTGCAAGCTTATAGAATCCTTCATTTTTGTCCCCGCTGATCATATCAAGGAGTTTTTGTATCCTTGGGACTTTGCTTTCAGGATTCGGCTTTAAAGCTATAAATTTCAACATCTTATAAAAATTTTGAAAAAAAAATTTTTAGTGGCAAGATTTTTTCAATAATCTATCGGCGTGAAGTTAAATTTTTTTGATATTCTGATTGTCATCATAAATATTGGTTTATCAAAATGCAGTCTTTCATTACAGGTACTTTCATGATGCATGCGAATGATAATAAAGAATTACAAACAAGCCAAAAATGATCTTATATAAAAATCTGAGATTTTTTTTATGAGTGAGAACTAAGGTGTGTATGAAACCCTAGAGGTTAGTGAGTGTGTAGAACCTAAAAAAACTTATGAACATAGATATGATCAATAAACTTCTTTGATGATACTATTATAAGGCTAACTGTCGATTAATTATTATACTATAGCAATATGTGAAGCCATGAAGAGGAAATCTATGGTTTTATGAGTGATTCGAAATCTAAATTCCAGTGAAAAAATCCAAAATAAGAATTTTTGAAACTGTAAAAATTCATTTTATGGTATGTTGATATATGTTACATGATTTTCAACGATACAAATTACGATAATTTAAGGTGTTGATTATTTTTCTTTGAAAATAATGAGAAAAAAAAATCGATTTTTTTTTCAAAGAAAAATGGATGCCGCCTTAATAGAACAGTTAATTAATAAGATAAACGACCCTGAAGTCAAAACAGATGAACGCAATGAGGCGCTAGAAATCCTTTATCATTGGGGCGAGCAGCAAAATTGTTTAGAGGTTGCATTACAATTCATTATTGAGTACAAAAAACATAGTACGAATGTTGTTATTACTTCCCTTATGCTAACAAAATCGAAAGTCCAAGATAGTTGGAGATATTTCACTCAAGATATGGTTCAATCTTTTGTTTCAATTTTATTTCAATTCCTTGAAGAAAATAAGGCGAAAAGAGATGATATTGCGTACAGATATGCATTACTTAATTTAATTGATGTATCAATTTTATCGGACGACCCGAATCTTTCGATGCCGACATTTATGGAAAACAACTTTCCACAAGACTTCTATCTCGACTTTCTCATATTATATCTCGAAGAAAATGCAAGTCCTTTTACTAAAAAGTATCTGGAAAACATGACTCCTTCAAGATTAATGTTACTCGAAGTCTGCCCAAGGGTTTTATACGAGCAGCCAACATCCCTTCAATGGCTGAAAGTGTTTCAGCTCTTACTCCAATACATGGATAACTTTGAAGGTTATGATTGGGTTTTTGAACGCTTTTATCAAACTTTTAACAATTTCAATCAAATCAAAATCGTCATAGATATTATTGTACTATGCTTTTCTTACAATAACGATAGAGATCCAGAATTTTATTTCCAACTTTACGAATTATTTATACGATTATCGCAGCATTTACGAGGTGACATCGAAGATGATGATGTATGCAGTCAGTTGATGCTCCTTTGGGGCGGAGTTTTGCAAGCAGAAACGAATTTCCTACAAACACAAGAATTTTACGAAATTCTATCGGCAATGCTTGAAGAATTTGCATTATTCCTTGAATCTGCCCCTCTCGACAACGAATGCTGGCCGAAATTACTCTTTAATTTGTCAAGATTTATCCAAGCATTTACAGACGAGCATTTCAACAAAGATGTCCTCGAATTTATCTTTGTTGAAGTCATTAAGCTGCTCGATCGCGATCTTCCGCCCATCGAAGACATGTCTGCCGTATTAAAAGAGATTTGGAACGCAAAACCTTCCACAGATGACAATTCGCAGGCCAAGGAAGATGAATCCAGCCAAATTATGAGGGAATCCCTTAATTCCGCCCTTAATCAGATGTTAAATAATCCAACAAATGGACTTTTCAGCGCCGTAGCCCATCTTTGGAAAGCTATGAAGGATGATGATACGAGTTTACAGTATAAGAACCAACTTGGAAACCTCTCCTGCACAGCTTTGCTTCAATTGGACGAATATCCTCCTTCAACACTATTTTTCATCCAAAGAGTTGGCAGAAAATTCCCAGAATACGCAGAACAGTTCTTCAAAATCATTATTGATAACTTTGACTCAGATGAAGATTTTTATTCCCACAAAGTTCTCTTTAAACACATTATCCGTAACCTAGATAACCCTCCTGAGATAGAACAATCTGTTTTCTCCTATCTCACCGAGAAGAAATGCGATCCTTTCGAAATTTACGAAGGAGATTCAACAAAAATCGACTTTTACCCACTTGCTTCCATCATTTCCTTGCTTTCATTGTATCAGTCCGATGATGTAGGTACAGGTGTTCACTCCATCATCATTGAAGCCATTCAAAAAGCTGTTGATACAGATTCTCCTAAGAATTTCATAGAAGTTATGGCCATTTTGTACGAAATCGCAAAGAACCTGAGGAAAATCAAGGTAAACGAGTGGTTTAAGTCGTTTTTGATGCAAATAATTGAAGATGCCAGAGCAATAATCGGCAAAAACTTCTACGATCAGTCCGAAATCCTGCAAACATTGTATGTAGAACTTATACGAGCCATCACTGTCTTCCTGGACATCAGCCAACTCGCTGCGCAATATCTTGATAATGTTATTCGCAGTAACTCCTTTTATCCTTTTCATTTGTGCCTTACTCCTATCATACAGCGGTATTTACCTATCGAAAGCCTCTCCCAATTGATTGCTTCGATAAATCCAAATGATTCCGAAGGCCAAAAAGCGGCGTACGAGTTTGCTTTGATCCTAAAAGATCACCCTATCCTATGGTTCTCAACTCCCCCGGAGCTGATCCTAGAAATGCTCACCGCAAACTACTCAGAAAGAGCAACCCAAGATACTCCTTATTACGTGGCCATAGCAATTGATAAACGTATTCAAATGACTCCTCCGATAGATCCGGACTTTTTGAGAGCAGCAATTGTCTCATTATGTGTCGGACTTTACAATATCTACCAGGATGTCAACCTTTCGAAGATGGCATCGTTCTTACAGATAATCTGCAAGGCTATTGGTATCGAAGAAGCAAGGAATATAATGATCAACGCATTCGGAAATAATTTGAACATTCAAATTCAAAAATTTATCGAAGCTGTTTGCTCCGATCAAAAGATTGATTATACTATCCTTTATGAAGCATTCCAGAAATCTTCAGATATGTAATTTTGTATTTTATTTTTAATTTTAATTTTTTTCCTCTTTATTTTTTTATCTTTTCTTGTTTATATTTAATTGCATAAATGATTGCTATATTTATGATATTTGATTTTATATATAATCACTTCAAATTCATAGCTGAAGGAAATTTACCTCGCTTTCAAAGAAAAACTACCTATTAAGAAGAAACAATGCATTTATTTTAGTTGCAACATTTATCCAGATAACGCTTCAACTTCACAATCTAATTTAATAATTTAAGTTTCTCAATGAAAGTCGTGTTGTTTTAAACATTCTTATTGTGTCATGTTATATCGACAAACTCAATCAAAATTCATAAATAATTTCATGTCGTTCTGTTCTTCATATATTATGGATAGACAGTTCTTCATTAGTCTGTACAAAATAATAGTAAAGAAACATTTGAACTTCTTATTTGGCATGGTGTAAATATAATTGGGGAAAAAATATTAAGGTAGAAAATCCGCTCTTCATTTTGCAGCAACAAATAATTATCAGGAGCCTAGTGAAATTCTTATTATACATTGTTCAAATATCAGTCAAAAAGATAAATATGGAAAAACTGCTCTTCATATTGCAGCATATATTTGCAAATATCATTGAAAATCAAAGAAAACCTTTTAAAATGTACATATTGAGCTGTAGATGACACTATTATAATTCCCAAATCAATAATGTGATATTAACAAAATATGGGTAGTGAAAGCTCTTTCATTTGGTAAAATCAAAAGCTTTTGTTGTCACTTTTTGATTCTTAATCTCATGCTTTCAGATTTCAGTTTTCTCACATTCTTTGCTGTCATAATTCTGATTGCATTATTATTGAGATTCTTTGTCAGTACATTTAATTATTTCTTCCCCAAGACTCCATTCTTCACAGAACAATACGAAGCGTTTAATAACGTTAAAGAGCAGGCAATTTACCAAGAGCCTAGTGAAAAGATATTTGTTACTGTTCTTTATCAATCACCCGATACAGTACTTCAATTAGAAAAGCAATTAAATTATATTCTTCATCACCTTCAAAAGGCCTTAAGTACTTGGGAAAAATTTGAAGTAATTTGTTTCATCGAGGAATCCCAAAAAGATTTCTTGACTATTATTGATAAATTACGTCAAAAATATCCAAATACGATCCGATTATACCATTCCAAGCCAAATCCATATACTAAATTTATTTTAGGTGGAATGAGAGCTTGTGGAAAGATGGTTATCGACCAATCTTATGTCGGCCAAGTCGATGGTTTACCAAGACATCAAGTTTCTTACGTTAAGTTCTTTTATCCAAAAGTTTCCAAGCAACCACCATTCTTTAACAGTCGAAACTACATTTTCCCTGTTGCAGCATCAAAAGATATTGTAATGGGTGTTTTTTCCCATCTTCATTTAATCGATTTCGGAGCTTCAGCCGAAATTCTTGAATTATGCGCGAGATACGGTATTGATCCGGAAATTGATGCAAGCAGAATCCGAAAGAAAGTTCTTTTCTTCGATTCTGTTATCAGAAATTTCGAAAAACCATTAGTCAAGACCCTCTACAGAATCGGATACTGGACTATTAAACTTGACTAACAGATCCGAAATCTCAACTTTATATCATATAATTTTTTTATGTATGTACAATATAAGTTTAAACTGTTATTTATTTGCTAGTTTGTAAAAAACTATTAATATTTCATCTTAATTTTATTTATTTTTTTTATATTTAATATAAAAAAAATAATACAAGAAAACTCTTATCAAAAAGATTGACTCTTCTTTCTACAGTTATTATTGCATATTCAGTCTTTTAAATATCGATAATTCTCATATATTTTTTTTTAATTTGTAACAGAAAAGTAATATAGTTTATTCTTCTTCCTCACCATTGGCATCTGGTTGGACGAATCCATGTTCTTCATCAGTTTCATACATAATTTCAAGAATCTTCTTGACCATATCATCGCTTTCATTAACTTGGCAGAATTCCTCAATTCTTCTGAGTTTTCCATAGTAGAAATCTCTTTCTTGTGTAAGTTGATCTATTTCTTCACGCATTTCATTAACTTGTGACTTCATTTGCTTCAATTCTGCATTTCCTGCTGTGGATGTAGATTTTGGAGCAGCAGCGGTTGTAGTTGTTGTAGTCTTCTTTGTAGCTGCTGCCGCTGCAGGTTTTGTTGTGCCTTTAACTGGAAGTTTCTTTGTTGATTTTTGATAAAGTTCTGAATGAAGATTTGCAGATGCTGCATTAGGAATAGCTCCAACTGGTAAGTTTCCACCGTTTCCGTAGTTTTGTGGAACATTTGCTTCATTCAATATGCATGTTGGAGCAACACCAGCAACTGGTCTTGTTCTTTTTGCCATACCTGCTGGTTTAACAGCATTAGCTTGACCTATCTTAACTTGACCTGTTGGCTCTTTGCACTTGAAATGCTTACGCCTGGCGACTGCATCATATTCATCGTGTGGGCCTGTCTGTAAGTAGTAGCCATGGATCCATTGGAACAATTCCAAAGCAGCCATATACTTTCCTTTAACTAACGTAACAACATCGATGTATTGCTGAATATCATTCTTGTGAAAAGCATCTTGCAAAACTTTATAGTTAGAAGTCATATCATCTGGGCTATAAGCGTCGAATTTAACACGACCTAGTGCTACAGTTCCTGGGTGAATAGCATCAATTACTTGACAAAATGCTGCTCCATTAGAAGTGTCTTCGACTTTTGTGTAGTTAATTTTAAGCAAATCATTAATCCATGCGAGTAGTTCTCCTCTTCCTACAAAGTAGGCACCACTCATCATACCAAGAGGCTTAGACATATTTTATGATAATTATTTGTCACATTTACGTTTATTAATTTTTATTCGCATATTGAATTTTCCATTTTTCTTCTTATTAGTATTATCTATAAAAATATGCGGATAAAAGAATAAAGTTGACGATAGAAGATTTTTTCAAAATTGAATTCAATAAAAAAATTCATAATCTTCAACAATCTTCTTTAATCAGATACGTTGGAATTGCAACAAATGAGATAAAATTTCTAATCCATTTTAAATTGTTAGATTTCGGCACTTGAATAAAATTTTTAATAATTATTAACCCATTTTAATAGCCATATTTCACTAGAAATGCATTTTGCATTGTATTTAAACCGATTTCGATATATGAAGTAATGTTTATTCTATATTTCAATGGATGAAATTTAGAATCAGAAACCTAAACCATATTCAATTAAATATAAATTTTATTTTACACATATTATTAAATACTGCATTCCAAAAGTCAGACTCTAGACAAATCAGGTCGACAACGAAAAGTGCGGAAATTATATTTGTAAACTTTCTGACACTAAAAAATTTTGGCTTTTCAAAGTTTTGGAAATTGTGGTTTTTGTGTCAGAAAGCACTCAATTTTCCTCTCAAACGATGGGTACTTCGAAACTCGAAAAACAGCTATGCAACTTGGGCCAAAAGCTTTTATTCCTGAAGTACTTAATTAGCATGCAATTAAAACTTCAAAGTTCAAAGCAAAGACCAAAATACAAATCACAATTTTGACTTTGCAACAGTCTAAACTTAAACAAAGTAGCTATTTCAAACGCAGAATCATTAGTTCTTGTAACTATCAAACAATTTTCTCTATTTTCCTTTTTAATCCTCGTAGTGCCCCCTTAAACAATAAGCATCTTATATAGAAATACTAATCCTTTAAACCATGTGAAATAAGAAGTTCGGCTGTTTTTTTACAATTATAACGTGCTGCAAAATGAAGAGCGGTTTTTCCATAATTATCTCTTTCATTGATATTTATACCATGTGAAATAAGAAGTTCAGCTGTTTCTTTACTATTGTGACTTGCTGCCAAATGAAGAGTGGTTTGTCCGTATTTATCTTTTTCATTGATATTTATACCATGTGAAATAAGAAGTTTGGCTGTTTCTTTGCTATTAAATAGAGCCGCAATATGAAGAGCAGTTTTTCCATTTTGATATTTTTCATTGATATTCACACCATGTGAAAGGAAGTATTCGAGTAATGATGGAATATTGAGCCTTGCGGAATAAAGAAAGCATTTGTTAACATCATTAGTTTGATCAAAATAAACTAAAAATGATTCCAGATTATTATACCATTCACAATAATTTAAATTGATCTCTAAATTGTATTCATTCAACAAGAATGTAACAAAATCAATGTTGTGTGAAATGAATGCATGTTTCATGCATTCTTGATTTGGTTTTTGAAATTTCAAACATTTACTCATGATCTCTGGATTTCCGCCTAAAAATGATAATTCTAGACATGTTTCAGTTATTTCTGAGTTAAATTTCGTTCTCAATAACTTGAAACAATCAACGGCTCCATGGTAACAACATAATTCAAGTAATGAATATCCTCCACAATAATCTGGATATAAATAGCAATTAAGTTTTTGATCTTTATCAAATCCTTCGATTTCGGTGAAGAAGATGAATCTTTCTAAGTCATTATACATAATTGCTCGGTAAATTGTATCTTCGAAATGGATATTCAGATTTTCAAATTCAAATGTTTCGAAATCGTCCCATTTGTTTAATTTAATTCCATATTCTTTATAAAATAAGTATCCAATTTCTAATAGAACATAGATTTCCTCGTTTACTTGATAATCATCATATATGAGTTTAGCAAGAGATAAATAAGTCTTTGTATAGCGATTATTAAACTGAATGATACATAAAATGTCATTTATAATAGTATGAGGAAGACGTTCCTTTGAATCAATCAATTCTGTTTTGAGAATTTTGTAAATCTTGTTTATTTCTTCTTCTTTTTCAGTTTTCAGCTGATACAATGCATTATATGAATCGATATAGTATTTACACATACTTCGCAATTCAATGTACTTATTTGGGTGAGTGTCTTGATCAGACATTAATAATTTTTTATAAAGATACGATTCAATTTTATCATTTAAAACATCTTTAAAATTCATTTGGAAAAATAAAAGCTACATTATATCTGTGAGAAAACACTGATCACAAAGATTTCGGATTTCATTTATGTATTTTGATTAAGTTTGTAGATACGAAATAACACAATAACAACATGAATGTCTAAATCAATAATATTTTCATCCAGATAATTATGTTAAAAGCGTAATTTGCTAAGTTAAACTTATATATATATATTTCCTCAAGGTTCTTTCAATTTCATTGGATACGAGGAATATCAAACAAGCAGTCCAGCACTTCGAAAGGATTTATAAAATTATTGCATATTTTTTCAATTGCAAGACATTTTTTCTTAATGAATAACATAGTGATACCCTATAGAGAATAATGTTGTTTTCCTAACTACCGGATTAAAATCAATATGTTATTTTGTTTTCCCATTAGTTTTTCCAAGTAAATCTAATTATTACCCCCTTAATATAGCGCATTCTACCTGCGCGCAACTGCTCGCAGAAATATGCAAATAAACGCAAAAAAAAGTGACTTGATATAGGAATCATCTATGGAGGGGAGATTTGCGTTTAACGCTATTAAAAGAGGTCAAACAGTTCGCTGTATTATTCAAGCAAAAGAAGTCATTACTTCCTATGTAAAAAAGGATTGCTTTTTATTAGTTTCAAACACAAATTTTGAACAACTAATCATGAACCAACCGGATTCTATCAAAAGTTTTTCATGGTTCAATCTTGCTAAAATAAAGAATACAGGTGATACTCTTTTAATTTCATTCGGCAAAATGAAATTTAATTTTGTTTCTCCTCAAATGAATAAGCTTTACAATGCAATATGCGATATTCTTCCAAGAATTTTACTACCTACAGAACTGAAATCTGCTGAGTTTATCCCTGCAAAAGGTATAAATCCGCAACCAACTGGAATTAGTTGTCTAATTCGTCTTCAGGAAAAGTCAAACTCATCACCATCGAGACTAAGTGCAAGCACATACTCATATTTCAAACGATTTTTAACATATCAAGAGCAAATTGCTTCACTTTCCAAATTCCCTGACCCAACAAACGCAATTCCATTAATTTTAGACTCATTATCTTTATGTTCGAGCGTTAAAGAAATTATCATTCCTTCTATTTCACGAGTTGATTCTTACGGAAAAATTTGCAATTTTATTGCAGAACAAAGCAACGTAGAGCACATCGAAGTTGAAGGTTCGATCACAAAGAACTTTGATAGATACTTACATAACATTGAAGCCAACAAAAACTTAAATTTAAAGGGATTAACATTTACAGACTCAAGAATGACAGCGCGCAATCTTGAGATACTCTCAGATACTCTCAAAGAGAAAGGTATTACAAGCTTAGGTCTGAAACGTGCTGTTTCTCCGGAATCAAACGAATATTTCTTGAATACGTTTTTAGGTAAAAATATTGGCCAGCAATTATCATATCTCAACTTAGATAAGACATCAAAACCCGATGTTAAGGCTATTCTTCAATTTTGTCCAAATCTTCAAATGTTATCTTTGGCAAATTGCAATTTAGACATTTCCCAAGTCGCAGCCAACCTCACATCGAAACAAGCAGCTGGTCTGAAGTCAATAAACCTCAGTTTCAACGCTTGTAAGTCTTCTACGCCAAGATCTTTGAGAATTTCGCCCACAATTTGCCATGTAATGATAAATAGTGTCACATGGGGCGAAAAGACACTTCCTGAGTTCATCCAGACCCTTACTCATAGTAATAAACAAGGATTACATTTATCTTTGTCAGATGCTGACGCAACGACCGACGAATGGATCCGTTTATTCTCATACTTCAGACAGACCAAGTTTACCGGCCTCCATTCTTTAGTTTGGACCTCAAATCCAGTTCATAACAGGTTATTTGACTTTTTAGCTAAGAACAAAGAGCTTGTTCACCTTGACTTGAGTGGCTGCTTCATCCAACAGGAGAAAGAACCCATGCAATCCTTCGCAAATTACTTATCTAAGTGCAATACCCTTAAATCTCTTATTCTCAAGGGTAATTCAACCTCTTTTATGGGTAATTTTGTCGCAAATATTTTAGTTGCTGTTGAATCAGCCAAAACAATTAAATATTTGGACATCAGCGGAAATAAAGGAGGAAATGTCTCAATTGACGCCATTAGAACCTTGATTAACGGCAGATCTGCTATAGAAAGCATTGTTTTCGATGGTTGTGAACCAGAATCTCCTGAATCTTTGATGGAATTATTAAATTCATGCACGAAGAGCGTAACCAACGCTGCTGTCTCTTTCCCAGCATCAGACATCGAAACACTTCTTCACAGAGGAAAAATCTCCCAAGAAATGGTCGAAAAAGTGAAATCAAATCTTATGTTCCAATCCGCTCCAACCGCATCTCCATTTGATGCTCCATTTTACATCTACCACGATAACCCAACTCCCCAGTTCCCAAGTTATCTTCGCGAGTCGATTTTATTTGTATCCCCTCCTCCAGCCGAAGAAATCACCGAAATGTACACTCTTGACAACATTGAGATCGAAAAGGACATAGCAGAATCCAAGCCAAAGTCCAAGAAACCTCGCGCAAGTCGAGCATCAAATGTTGAGTCGAATTCCCAAGCCGATGGAGAGTCAACAACGAAGAAAAAGAAGAAGAAAACAATTCGCAAGTCGAACACCATTCTTCCTGAAGATTCCCGCAAAGAAGAGCCAATGCATCCGAAATCTTCTTCAGCAAGTCAAGGTAAAAAGCGGAAAACAGCGAAATCCGAGACAAAAGAAGAAGACAAAGATGTCAGTCTTGAAGAGAACCTCGAGTCCATTCTCCCAGATACTTCAGAACTTGGTGAAATCTCCACATATGTCTTAGATGTTCCCAGTGAAAATGACAGCGAAGATGACGACAAACCGAAGAAAGTAACGGTGAAGAAAGAGTCATTTTCATCATCAAAGACAGCTGAAGGAGCATCCCAGAAGAGCAGCAACGCAAACAACGAAGAAGATCACAAGAAGAAGAAGAAAGTTTCAAAGAGAAAGAAGAAATCAGTTTCTCACAGTTCTCAACTTCCTCCTCCTCAAATTCCTCCTGTCCAAGCAAATGAACAAACAACACAGCCTGCAAATGGAGATGATGTTGACTGGAGAATGCCTGTTCAATACACTTTCTTCGACGGAATGGAGAAGTTGTGGAGACACGCTAATCTTAGATACGGTCTTCAGGCATTGCACAACGAACTTCACGCAATGAGACCAGAAAAGAAGTAATTGGTTTTATTTGTTTTATTGTTTTATTTATAAATATTAATTATTTAAAAAAATGTATACTTTTAAATCATATTCTTCGCGGCTGTCTTTCAAAGGATTTGTATCCGATATTAATCATTTGCATCATATGATCTAAGAAGTTCAGCTGTTTCTTTGCTATTATAACGTGCTGCATAATAAAGAGCGGTTTTTCCATAATTATCTTTTTCATTGATATTTGCACCATATGAAATAAGAAGTTCGGCTGTTTCTTTGCTATTATAACGTGCTACATAATGAAGAGCGGTTTTTCCATAATTATCTTTTTCATTGATATTTGCACCATATGAAATAAGAAGTTCGGCTGTTTCTTTGCTATTATAACGTGCTACATAATGAAGAGTGGTTTTTCCATAATTATCTTTTTCATTGATATTCGCACCATGTGAAATAAGAAGTTCGGCTGTTTCTTTGCTGTTTGTAGATGCCGCTTTATGAAGAGCGGTTTCTCCCAATTTATCTTTTTCATTGATATTCACGCCATGTGAAATAAGAAGTTCAGCAGTTTCTTTACTATTATTTTCTGCTGCAATATGAAGAACTGTTTTTCCATCTTTATCTTTTTCATTGATATTAGCACCATGTGAAATAAGAAGTTCGGCTGTTTCTTTACTATTTGTTGATGCCGCTTTATGAAGAGCCGTTTCTCCACGTTTATCTTTTTCATTGATATTTGCACCATGTGAAATAAGAAATTCGGCTGTTTCTTTACTATTATTTTCTGCTGCAATATGAAGAACTGTTTTTCTATCTTCATCTTTTTTATTGATATTTGCATCATGTGAAATAAGAAGTTCCATTGTTTCTTTACTATTATAATGTGCTGCTTTTTGAAGAGCGGTTTCTCTGTCGTTATCTTTTTTACTGATATTTATACCATGTGAAATAAGAAGTTCTGCTAATTCTTTACAATTATTTTCTGCTGCAATATGAAGAGCTGTTATTTCATCTTTATCTTTTTCATTGATATTTGCACCATGTAAAATAAGAAGTTCGGCTATTTCTTTACTATTATTTACTGCTGCAAAATGAAGAGCAGTTTTTCCATCTTTATCTTTTTCATTGATATTTGCACCATGTGAAATAAGAAGTTCGGATATTTCTTTACATTTATAACGTGCTGCAAAATGAAGAGCGGTTTCTCTATAATTATCTTTTTTATTGATATTTATACCATGTGAAATAAGAAGTTCGGATATTTTATTACTATTAAGCAATGTTGCAATATGAAGAGCAGTTTTTCCATCTTTATCTTTTTCGTTGATATTTATACCATGTGAAATAAGAAGTTCGGCTGTTTCTTTACAATTATTTTCTGCTGCAAAATGAAGAGCAGTTTTTCCATCTTCAGATTTTTCATTGATATTCGCACCATGTAAAATAAGAAGTTCGGCTGTTTCTTTGCTATTAAATAGAGCTGCAATATGAAGAACGGTTCTTCCATTTTGATGTTTTTCATTGATATTTGCACCATGTGAAATAAGAAATTCGGCTGCTTTTTTACTATCATTTTCTGCTGCATAATGAAGAGCAGTTTTTCCATTTTGATATTTTTCATTGATATTCACACCATGTGAAAGGAAGTATTCGAGTAATGATGGAATATTGAGCCTTGCGGAATAAAGAAAGCATTTGTTAACATCATTAGTTTGATCAAAATAAACTAAAAATGATTCCAGATTATTATACCATTCACAATAATTTAAATTGATCTCTAAATTGTATTCATTCAACAAGAATGTAACAAAATCAATGTTGTGTGAAATGAATGCATGTTTCATGCATTCTTGATTTGGTTTTTGAAATTTCAAACATTCACTCATGATCTCTGGATTTCCGCCTAAAAATGATAATTCTAGGCATGTTTCAGTTATTTCTGAGTTAAATTTAGTTCTCAATAACTTGAAACAATCAACGGCTCCATGGTAACAACATAATTCAAGTAATGAATATCCTCCACAATAATCTGGATATAAATAGCAATTAAGTTTTTGATCTTTATCAAATCCTTCGATTTCGGTGAAGAAGATGAATCTTTCTAAGTCATTATACATAATTGCTCGGTAAATTGTATCTTCGAAATGGATATTCAGATTTTCAAATTCAAATGTTTCGAAATCGTCCCATTTGTTTAATTTAATTCCATATTCTTTATAAAATAAGTATCCAATTTCTAATAGAACATAGATTTCCTCGTTTACTTGATAATCATCATATATGAGTTTAGCAAGAGATAAATAAGTCTTTGTATAGCGATTATTAAACTGAATGATACATAAAATGTCATTTATAATAGTATGAGGAAGACGTTCCTTTGAATCAATCAATTCTGTTTTGAGAATTTTGTAAATCTTGTTTATTTCTTCTTCTTTTTCAGTTTTCAGCTGATACAATGCATTATATGAATCGATATAGTATTTACACATACTTCGCAATTCAATGTACTTATTTGGGTGAGTGTCTTGATCAGACATTAATAATTTTTTATAAAGATACGATTCAATTTTATCATTTAAAACATCTTTAAAATTCATTTGGAAAAATAAAAGCTACATTATATCTGTGAGAAAACACTGATCACAAAGATTTCGGATTTCATTTATGTATTTTGATTAAGTTTGTAGATACGAAATAACACAATAACAACATGAATGTCTAAATCAATAATAATTTCATCCAGATGCGTTTAATCTCCAATCGTATATTGCTGAATGTATACATTTAGTACTCAATCGGAAATTCAAACAGAAAAACACAACTAATATGGCATCAACTTACTATCTAGCAGTCGTAGTAAAATACTATCTAACATAATTGAAAAGAGATTCCAAAAGTGACAACATATGACGAATCCTCACTCAGTAGTTCAGATAAATTTAACGATTCATGCTGAACAAGATGATGATGATTTAAGGATTTTGTTCCCTTTTGACACTCAGAAAGATAACATTGATCAAGTTGTTAAAGAACTTGTCAATGAGATCAACCTTACTGATGAGGAAGGAGTTGAGCTCAAAGCTGTAATAGAAAATCAATTAAAGCAAGCTTTAGGAACTGGTTCTCAATCAAGTTCTGCAATAAAATCAAGTTCCGGAGTGGCTCCCGTCCAACCATCAAATTTGGATGAATCTGATGACGCAGATGTACTAAATGATAGAGAATATCAAGCTCTTTTGAGCCAGCAAGCTAAACAATTAGCTGATATAGAATTGAGACATTCTCAGGAACAAAAGGAGTTAATCGCAAAATTACAACGCGGCACACCTGTCACATCATCACAAAATCCAGATGATCTCATCTTCTTTGGATAGAATTTATGTTTTTAATCGATTTTTTATCTCTCAATTTGATTTGTTAATTTAAACTATTCCATATTACGACTGTCTATATCATTACTATAAAGAATTATAATATCATGAAATTTATCTTTTATCTGTGACTAGAATTTGTCATTAAGCTAATTCTTAACATGATTTCGGACCTTTTCATTGTGGTTTCGTATTTTAACTTCATTTCGGTAACATTTAAGAGTATAAGTAAAATTCGTGCCAATTTCCTGAAATCAAATAATTAGGGAAAAGTACTTAATATAAGATTCACAGCACCAAATGGAAATCTCTTCATAAGCGTGTAAATCGAGATAAATAGAAATATCCTGATTTATATTGACTATGGTGCCAATTCAGATTAAAATTGGCTTCGAATTATGAGTTTCAACTTAAATGAAGATATTTATTCAAAGTATATGCAATATTTAATTGTTCCCTAGATTAAATCTTGTACTCTCAATCTGTCAAAAAAAAAGATTTACCGATAAGAAAATTGAGGGGTAATTCGGCCATTAAATCACTTTTTTTGTAAATGGAGATTCGCTTAATTTCCGGCTACAAGGACTCCGTCCTCTTCAAGCTTCTTGCTCCAAAGCTTCCAAAGAACGTCACAATCACAGAGATCAACTCGAACGATCGTGTTTCTGCCTCTGCTGAATTCGAGTTCAAGGTTTGGCCAGTTCTCTACGAAAATGGCACACCATTCCTCTATGGTACACGTGCTATCCTTACATACCTCTTCACAGGCTCTGAACTCCTCCAGCAAGCCTCATTAACACAGAATGATACACTCTTCTGCCTTGGTGACGACCTTTACACAGCTTTCTGCCCAATCTTCACACGCACACAGTCCATCCTTGTCAACGATAAGATCATCGCCCACTCACAGAAGGCTTTCGATGAAGTCATTGCCCAGATCCCAACACACAAGACAAAGGAAGAGTCAATCGGTAATTACTACATCGATTCCATCCTTGCCATCGTCAAGGCTCTCGGCTTCAAGCTCGACCTCGAAGTTCCACAAGTTACACTTCAGGCCGATGCCATTGCTGAAGAGGCTCTTCGCTTCTGCTTCCAGGTTCTCAACATCCCAGAGCGCTATGCCCTTTCTCCAGCCCCAGAAAAGCCAATGTGCCTTACAACACCAATTTACTACGTCAATGGTGTCCCACACATTGGCCACGTCTTCACAACAACACTTGTCGAGACCATCAGCAACTGGTACAAGCTTCGTGGCATCGACTGCATCTACTCAACAGGTACAGATGAGCACGGCCTCAAGGTCCAGACAACAGCCGCCTCCAAGGGCTTCTTACCAAAGGAGTGGTGCGACAAGACATCCAAGACCTTCTTCGATGCCTTCGAGCAGTTCGATCTCCATCCAGATGTCTTCATCAGAACAACAGATGAGAACCATATCAAGGTTGCCACCAAGTTATGGACAATCCTCCACGAGAAGGGCTATATCTACGAAGGCAAGTACGAAGGCTGGTATTCCAAGCGCGAAGAATGCTTCGTCCCAGAAAACCAGATCAAGGTTGTTGTCGAAAACGGCGTTGAGAAGCATATCAACTCCGAAGATGGCGCCGAGCTCGAATGGTCATCTGAAACAAACTGGATGTTCAAACTTTCCGCAATGCAACAGCAATTACTTGACTGGTACGATGCCAACCCAACATGCATTACACCACGCCCATACTACAACCTTATCAAGTTAATGGTCTCTCGTGGCCTTAATGATCTTTCCGTTTCTCGCCAGAACGTTACATGGGGCATTCCAGTTCCAAACGATCCAAAGCAGACCATGTACGTCTGGATCGACGCTCTTGCCAACTACCTTACAGTCGCCGGATGGGATGGCGAAGGCAATTTCGGCAGATGGCCATGCGACATCCATACAGTCGGTAAGGACATTGTCAAGTTCCACGCCATCTACTGGCCAGCCTTCCTTATCGCTGCTGGCATTCCATGCTACAAGAGATTGCTTGTTCACGGCTGGTGGACAAAGAACGAAGAGAAGATGTCAAAGTCCCTCGGAAACACACTCGACCCAATTGTCCTCATGAAGTTCTGGGGCCTCGAAGCTGTCAAGTACTACTTACTCCGTGAGTGCACATTAGTTTCAGACAGCGACTACTCAGACAAGGCCATGTTGAACAGATACAACAACGATCTCGCTGATGTTCTCTGGAACTTGGTTATCAGAATCATTTCCAAGAAGCTCTGCCCAGACATGGTTGTTCCAACACCAGGAGAGTACCAGGAAGTCGATAAGGACCTCATCGAGTCAATCGTCACAATCCCAGGTACAGTTGACCACTTCATGGCTTTCGGTGAAACACGCCACGCTCTTGATTCAATATTCGCTTCAATCCACGACTTGAACAAGTACCTCACAGACATGCAGCCATGGAAGCTCGTCAAGGAAACAGACTTGTCCAGATACAACACTGTCTTCTACACACTCCTTGAATGCTTGCGTATCCTCGCTACATCTCTCTACTGCTTCATGCCACAGACAGCTACAACAATCCTCAACGGCCTCGGCGTAGGAAAGAACTTCCCACCAGAGGAGATCTTCAAGTACGGATTCCTCAAGCCAGGAACAAAGCTCATGGAAGGAATGCCAATCCTCTTCCCGAAGAAGACACTCCCAGATGTCTAAATTCTTTTCCTAAACTAAATGAGAATTTTTTTTCGATTTTCAAATTTTTAATTATCTTTTTTAAATTTTCTGTTCGAATAGAAATTTATTCTTGTTTGCTTGTATAATAGAAATTCTTCTGAATTGATCCTATTCAGTTGTTGGTTGAAATAGAATTCTAAATCAATACTGAGAAACTCATGATTTTGGGGTGACTCTACATTTTGGTATGTTTGTATGCTTAATTTAGCCTCAGATGAAAACTGTGAAGAAAAATATCCAAAAGAATAAATATATTAGATTTATGCATTTGAAATATGAAGACAATTCTTAATTTTTAAAATGTAGGCATGGTAACCTTAGTTACAAGTTCAATTATTAAAGAATCTGGAAAATATGATTTTGATTTGTTAATTTTTTTAAAAGATTTCTAATCCATTCATTGAATATGTTTGAAAAACAAAGCTTGATGAATAAATTTTTGTAAAAAAAAAGTAATTTTTGATTTTAATAAATTCTATTGTCATAATGGACATTCTTTATTGATATAAATAAATATATATATAAATATAAACTCTAAAAAGTGAAAGCAGCCTTGCGGATGACCTGTTCAGTTCCGCCAATTGCAAGTGTGTTGTTTTCGTTGGCCAAAGCGAAAACTTTCTCATCGTGTTGAGAAATTGTACAGAGAGGAACTCCTGTTCCAATATTCCATGCCTTTACAGCTCCATCGTAACCGCCAGAAACAAATACGTCATTACTCATGAAGAGGACCTTGGAAACCCAGTTCGTATGTGACTTAAACTCACGGACAACCGATCTGTGCTCTGTTTCTCTTGTGTCCCATAATTTGACGGAACGATCTGTATGTGCTGAGATAATTAGAGGTCCTTCGACGGATATAGATAGAATACCACTCGTAGAACTCATCTGGTACTTCTCCTGGAACGTATTTACATCCCAAAGTCGAATGGATCTATCGAGTGAAGAAGAAACAATGGTATTCTCTTCAATCCAGTGGACATCTGTAACAGAATCTGTATGGCCGACAAATGGCTGTAGGTTAGATAGGGCTAATGACCATAATGCGAGGCAATAATCAGCACCGGCTGTAATAAACATTTGATCGACGTTTTGATGTGTGGCGATTGCATTAACTGCAGAGTTATGGAGTTCTAAGCGCTGTGTTTGCTTGCTGCCGTCTAATGTAAAGACAGTTCCGGATCCATCGAGTCCGCCAGCGATAAGAGTATTATCTCCGATGAATGCGAAGCTCTTGAAAGGTACTGGATCCTCTCCTTCTTCAACAAACTCGTAAACTTTCTCTCCACAGTGAATTGTTCCATTATAAAGCGAATAATAAAGTTCTCCGTTCTTGTACTTAATGCATGAGATCCAATCATCTGTTTTTTGTTCGTCTTTTAACTCTGGTGGCTTGAAAGCGGGGAAATATTCTAATGTTAAAATTTGTTCTGGAGAAATTTGATAAAGACGCATTGCTTGAGCAAGAGACTGTCTTAAGAAGTTACCATTGATCTTAAAATCAAATGGAACTGGCTTTTCAAGCTCAAGTGCCTGATTAAGTGCATCAGAAAGACCTTTTCTATTGAGAGCTGTGGATATGGCGAAATCTCCCATAGGAAGAACATATTCTTGCTCTTTTGTCACGAATTTGACACGTACTGTCTCGCTCATGACTGATTTTTGTCACTTTTTGGAGATTTTAGTGTCTCCCACTTGAAATTGATATCACATCAAGTATTTGCTCTTGTTTGATGATATCATCATATTATCTGTAGCATGAGAGTATCTAATATTGCAATAAATCTGCTGATTATTAACATAAAACATTATTCAATAAAATATCAATCTAATATATCAGACATTTATAGTTGTAATCGTTTCCACTAACCTTAATATGGCTTGTTTTGCTCAATTATTGACAAAATCTAATAACATATATATCTTTTAGCATAAATCTTTCAAATCTATGTTATGTTTCTATGGTACATATATATTAATTCTAAAAATGATTGATTATCTGTGCTATACATCAGAAAATCAAAGAAATATATCTTGAATCTCAAATTTATATAGAATTCTTTAGATTACACAAGAAAGTTAGATACTTTTGATTGGCAAGTTGTATTCTTTCTATAAAAAATGACTTCTGGACTTGAATAAAAAACGTTTTTGTAAGAAATAGCTCATTTAATAATAACAAGTATAAATTATTCGTTTTCGTATTTGATCTGATAATTGAACATAACTCCGGGTGCAAACCTGAATTTGCATTTCTTATAAAAATCTGGACCTGCTTTGATGCTTTTATTATCAAAGACAGAGTTTTCTGATTCATCTATATCGAAGTCTAAATCACGTGATTTAATATTTTTCCCTGTTTTCTTGAAAGGATGATCGAATTCTGTGATTACACCATAATCTTTCATTGTCATTTCCATCCATGGGCAGTCTTCAATGTATTCATCTGGAAACTCATTATCTGGTTGTAAAGAATCCCCTCTAACTGACATTTTCCCTAAAATTAAATTGAATAACTTTTTCAGTTATTTTTTTTTGCATTGTTGATACTTTTTATCGGCACTTTTCAGGGAAATAATCAAAAAATGGAAAAAGATGATTTAATCTACTTAATCAAGGCCTACATCAGTTCCAACAGGCCTAATGAAGCAATTTCATCTATGAAAGAGCTCATTGAAATTTCTCCTGATCTTAATCGCGAAGAATATCAAATTTTTCAAGTTGTTTATAAACAAATATGCGATGCATATAGAGAAACACTCAGAACATTATCGTTATATTTAGATGTTGAAAAAGGCGTTGGCCGTCTAGAAATCGTCAAAGTTTTAGAAGATAAGAAAAACGATATCATTAGCAATCTTATATCTTTTTGCAAAGAGGCTATTGAAATAATGGATACCACACTAATCCCAGAATGTTCATCTATAGAAAATCCAGAAATGGCAAAAGCATTTTACATAAAATTCAAAGCAGATTTATACAGATATATTTCGGAGTTTTCTGATGAAACTGAGTCTCTCGCTGCACTTAAAAGTGCTGAAGACTATTACAATGAAGCTCTCGACATTGCTTCAAGATGTATGATAAAATCACACCCAATTTATCTTTCAATCCTCTTAAATGCAGCAGTATTTCAATACGAGCAGAAGCATGATATGTCTCTTGCTAAATCGCTTTGCTTGGAAGGTATCCAGAGTTTAGATGAAGATTTTCAGACTTTGGATGAAACTGATCAAGAATCTTCAAGACAAATGGTTACATATATGCGCAGAAATATATACAGCTGGAATAGTAATGAAGAAGAAGAACAGCAGGCTGAATGAAAACAAAAAATTATTTAATATTTTTTATTGTTAAATGTTTTATTATGTAATAATATTACTTTTGCCTTTTACTTTACATTTTCTTTTATTTCTTGTTAACAATGAATGTTTATTTTCAGAGTTCAATATTGGATGAAAAATATGCTTGAAATCCAATAATTATGGTTATATGATCTATAAGTTTTTCCAATCTTTCAAAGTTAACATGGAATCTATGAATTCTATTTGATTATCGTGTATTTTGATTCAAAAAAATATACGACAATAAGTCTCCTTTCTTGTATTAAACATTTAAGAGTTTATTAAGATATTTTGATGAACGATTTTCAACATTCGCAATCATAACCTTCTGATATTACGAATTTTAAAAAAATTATGCTATTTATAGTTGAATTTGATATAACATATTCTCAATAATGCGCTTCGAGTGCATTAAAGTTAAAACAATCTTGTAAAAAATTCCAAAAAAAATTCAAAAATTATAAAATGAATTTAGAAAATAAGAATTTTTATAGGAAAATATGGTTTTTGCAAAAAAATTGGAAAATAGAATTGCATTATAATTTACAAAAATTCAAGATCATTATGTTTTGAAGCAAAAATAAGTTAAATTAAAAGTTTTTGAATTAAATTTTGGCGCAAATCCCGAAAATTTAAGATAAAATACATAGTACATCAACTTATTATTATAAATACATCTCAAAATCAATAAAATAAATCCCCAATTGCTCAAAATTTAGAATGAGGGAGCCCGATGAGGGCGTTACTCAGTTACCTGCATCAAAATTTGATTCAGGGCAAACAGATGTCACCCTCATATCATTTCTATCTATTTCAGTGTTAATTTTAATCTCAGTTCATTATATCATCAAAAATTTATATGATGGTGATATAATTTCTTCACACGAAGGATTACAAATATCAGAAAACGAAAAAACCAACTACATATTACTATTGATACATTCTCCAACGACAGTTCAAACTTTTTCAAATTTTTATATTGATATTTTAGGATCTAAAGAAAATAAAGACTCATTTGACGTTGACGCAGATATATTATGCCAGTGGGGACAAGCCCCAACTACAATTGCAAGGCAAACTCTCCCAGAAGCCGTAATTGGAAAAAATAGACTTTATTCGACCGGATTATTTAACTATGATTCCGTTTTATTTCAAATACACATACAAGGCAATCTATCCAAGCTAGATGGCCTCACCATTTCCGTTATACATCAAAATGCAGAATTTTTTAACCAATGCAAAGTTATTCGCCAAAGTTTCTCGTATATAGGAATCGCTACTCTCGTGATATACTGTATAGTTCTCATATCCATTAGCCAAAAATCCCGTTCTGTTGACCACATTTTAGTAATAATTTCTTTGACGATTTCAATATTCACGAACAGCCCTGACCTTTTAGAAGACTTAATATCGAATTACATCGCAAATTACTCGCTTTCCTTGCTTTTGAGCGGTTTTTATCAATCTACGAACTTTGTTATATTATTATGCCTTGTTATACGTGCAACGAGTTCAGATTCGATAACGACAACATGTATATTATCTCTTTTGTTCATTTTTGCTGACGGACTCTCAGAATTAACTTATGATACGTCAATTTTGGCAAAATACTTTGACAACAACACTACAGTATGGGTTTTCTTTTTTACAATGTCGACAGCAGCAAAAGGAACCCTTCTTTGCATCGCTTTATGGAAAATTCTGAATTATATCTTTGACCGGAATATTTCATCGCCAACGGTTATTTACTTGATTACATATGTTATTATATATCAATATATATCGTTTATTGCAAACGGAGCTTTTTATTTAATATACGGTTACGGAAGTAGCTCTTTAGACTTTAATACTAGATACTTATCGCAGTTTATTACGACTATGGCCATTGCGGATATTTATTGGCCAACACAGAAGAAAGTTGGACGAAATTTGAATAATACGACTAATCCAACATATAGAGAATTAGATACGGATAAATAAAATGTTTGTATTTTTAGATTATATTACATTCCTTTTTTATTTTTCTTTCTTTTTGAAATCTCAAAAATATTTCAAATTATTTTTTAGGTTAATTGATTACTCATTACAATATATTACTAACTTTTAGCTCTACTGAGCTATTATCTTGATAAAAGCAACATTTCTACTATATAAACTCTTAATAGATATCCTAATTCGAGATTTAATAGTTTTAGAACAAATTTTTATTGTCAATAGATGTTTAAATCATACTATTATGTAATATTAATGAGATTTGTGGTAAAAATATTTTTAAATCACGAGAATAAAGTTTTCTTTTAAAAAATCATAACAATCTAATAAAATATATACGCAAATAATCATTAATTAACTTGACGTTCATTCTTGAAATACGAGAAGATCTATCAAATTAAAAAAAAATAATTATTTTTCGCCATCAGGAATTTGAGGAAGTAGATTTGGTTCAAGAGTCTGGACCTGCTCTGGTCCATGTGGTGGTTCTGGTTCTTGACTTTGTTCCGGAAGTTCCAAAGGTTCGTCACTTGCTTGATTTGTTTCTTGAGCTGGTTCTTGAGTTTTCGGAGGCTTAGGTGGTTTTGGAAGAGCTTGGATAGCTTTGTAAGTCATCGCGTTTTGTTCTTCAAGAATTTTAATTATATTTTCAGATTTCATTGCAATTGTGATATCCAGAGCGGTGAAATATTCATAGCTCTGTCTATCATCAACAGTCTGGTACTTCTTAAGAACAATATTTGGCTCAGCTCCATTTTTCAGAAGAAATTCAACTAATTCGGCATTTCCACTATAAACAGCGTACATTAATGGTGTCGCGTGTGGATACTTCGAGGATCTTCGATAATGGTCATTAGCATCAGCTCCATTTTCGACCAAAAATTTTGCAATTTCGTAATATCCATTTCGACATGCGTATTTTAACGCCGTCATATAGAAGTAAGGATATTTTTCGTATTTTATGTTAACATCTACTCTTTGTGCAACGCATTCCTTAACCAAATCAAGATATCCGTATTTGCAGCAAATCATTAATGGAGTTTCCAACAAATCGAATTGTTTTCCATCATTTTTGAAGCGAATAACGTTTCTAAGTGTAGAAGCGCCTTGTTTCAAGCAAGCAGCAGCAACTTCAGGCATCTCGTTTACCATACTGTACAAGAAGAGTTCGTATGATTTGTTGTTCTTCGGACTTCTTTGCAAATAAAAAACATTTGCTCCTTTTTCAATAAGCATCAATGCGATGTCTTTGTTCTTCTTCGTGATGGAATAAGAAAGAGGAGTATAAGCAACACCATTATAAACAAAAGTGAAGTTAATTGCACATCCGCATTCAACAAGATAATGAATCATTTCTTGATTATTTTGAATTAAAGCAAAAACTAAAGCTGGATAATCATTGTATGTATAATTGAAGCTTTCTCCATCAAATGAATAGGAAACTTGCTTGTGCATGAAGGAATGAACTTGACTTGATCGCTTCTTTAATTCAACAGTATGACGAATTTCTTCTTGTTTCAATGTGTCTTTCATGTTCATTTTTTCAACAAATTTCGTCATTTTGTCGAATTCGCCAACGCATGCCAAATAATTAACAACTTCTTCGTATGGCTTGTGGCTGTGGTTCTCGTGTGGACGTGGAATCGAATCACATATATGGAAGGATGATAGGAAAAGTGCCGCTTTTATATTGACGTATTTCATCATTGCGAAATTTGCGTTGATTTCGGCTCTTCCGTCGTAGATTTTGAGGATTTTGTCAATGATGTTGTGCTGGTGGTACTTGACAGCGTACTTGAATGAGCCAATAAAGAGGTCTCTGTCAGCTTTGTCTATGTTGTCTTCGAGATGTCGTAAGATTTCGGAGTTTCCGCCACAAACAGCAAGCGGATAAGCATGCTTGCCAGGTTGGAGACCATTAGCTATGAAGAAGAAAAAGCAGTTGAGAGAGCCGTGAAAAACAGCAAAATCAACTGAATTCATTTCATAATCTCCAATTTTTTCAGTTGGAAACTTGTAATTCGGCTCGGTGAGTAATTTCTTGATTTCTTCGACGTTATCGAATGCGATATAGTTAAGAACTTTGTTTTCATAAATATTTTGAACGTAGTATTCTCTGTCTTGGCCTTTGCTTTGAACAAATTTCTTGAATTGCGGATTGATGTAATCAGAGTAGTTTTCGAAGTGATAAATATCGACTAACGAGTCGAATAAATTTAGATAATACTGAAGAGAGCGCCAACGGCATTTACTTGCTGCACTAATCGATCTTAAAATATGAGGAAGTGCAATTTGCTTCGTTTCAAGAGATGTAATAAGATTATTGAAAATAGAAAGGTAATTTTCAGCATTAAGCTTCCATATGCTCTTTTCCGCTTTATATAAAGACTTTAGAACATCTGGTACCTTAAACTTGTCAAAGTTAAAGGTATCACTTTCCATTTTTTTATTTCATGTCACTTTTTATCAATTCATGAGCGTAACTTCGTTTTATGAATGGAATAGAATAGCTTACTGTCAATACATTAATTTACAATTCTTTAATTCAGTTTATTGGGGATTAACGATTTCAGCTATTTCCAAATTGAAACATCTGCAGGCCAATAGCTAGTTCATCGAGTTATCCAGATGAATTTACCTGACAACCTTAAATACTATCTATTATTATATCAGATATAGGATAAACAGTTATTATTGTAAGCAAATAAGTGCATTTTAGCTATACTTTCGATCTTATTTCTTCGGCAAAATGGATGCAGTGAGTATCACAAATAAAAACTTCATATGAAATATTGAGATATTCATCATATATTTCTTTGTTTTGAATTCTCAAGGTGCACTAAAGATGGTTAACAGGCAAAAATAAAAATTGGAACAAGACTGATATATTTAAATAAAAATAAAGAAAAAAAAAATATAAATTTAATGCTTATCTTTTCTTATATCGCTAAACAAATTTTGGATAGAGAACTCTTCTTCCCATTCATCCCAGAATCCATCTACATCTACAGCAAGTTTGATGGTTGGGAATGTCCAGTCGGTCATAATGGCTCTCTTTGATCTCTTCGATCTCTTTGATGATCTAACAGAATGTGGTGATTTCGGAGAAGTTGGTTTTGACTGTCTTTCTTCTTCATCGGCCGCCTTCTTTGAACCAGTAGATAATCTACTTTCTGATTGACGAGGAAGCTCTTCTCCTGTTTCATTACTCATTGCTCTACTTCTAATCCTTCTATTTTGGGTGTTAGAATTGTCTTGAGTATTTGTAATATCTGGTAAATTCGTTGGAACAAATGTTTGGTCTCTAGTTATAGTGAATTGTGTTGTTTCACTTGTAACATCAACTGTAGGTGCATTTTCTCCATGAATAAGCTTTTGTGCATCTGCCATTCTTTCTGCAAGTTTCTTTGCTTGAGCAGAATCTTCTTGAAATGCAGGATGTTGTATAACTTGAGTTGCATTTAACATCCTGATGTCTGTAAGTGTCTGTTTTGTGAACAAATATGGAAATTCATTTTGTTCCTCTTGTTTGTAAATAATAAATGGATCATCGAAGACGGAATGAGCTGGAGCTGGGAATTGTGTCTGTCTTTTAGCACTTGATTTAGGTGCGCGATAGAATTGTTGAAGAAAGAACTCTAATTGTTCCTTTGCAATCATTCCTTTGCGCCTGATATACTCAATATCTGTTTGTGGGTAGTTGTATCTGATATTATTGCTACTCAAAGCTAAATTAGAAAATGCAATGAATGGATCTGCACTTTCTGGTAAAGATCCATCTGTGAAAATAACTCTCTTCTGAGGAGACTCAAGAATCTGTCCCATTGTTGAGAATCCTTCAACACCACCTAAGTTAAATGACAAATCAATATATTGCAACTGCTGGCAGGACTTTAGAGCAGTACAGATCTTACTTACATAGGGTCCTAATACAGCATTTCTGTCCGGTAAGCCGCGAGCAATGAAATATTTGAGATGTGGTGATTTGGACAAATAATTGATCAACGAATTGACCGGCTCATCAAAGGATTTATTGAAACAACCGGAAAGAGATAAGTAATCAAGGCCTTTGTTTTGGCGAAGAAATTCAAAGAATTTCGGAGGAACTGGATTTTGATCCCAAATCAAAGAATTCAATGAGGTATACTGACCCTGACATAAGAAATTGAAGACATGGACCCATTCGTCAGTTGTTGCGTCTGCATTTCGAAGAGATAACTTTACTCCGCTCTTGAAAGACTTCAACGAGAGGCGGATGAAAGGAATAAGTGTTCCTTCACTCCATGTAATGTTATCGGCTGACAAAGATGAAAGAGATGATGGCAAAAATCGAAATTCATCAACAGGGAATGTTGATTTGTTGCCATTGAAGTTAATGGCGTGTATTCTAAGTATTGGTGCTTCGAAAATTGCACGGAAAATGGAACCAACTTCAAGACCGCAGTTTGCAACTGATAATACAGAGAGATAAGGCATTGATTGAAGTAAGGCGTTGATATTGATGTTCTTTGTATTATCTAGATTAAGAACTGTAAGTGTTTCGCTGATTTTTGAACGTAAAAACTTTGAATAAAAATAATCTAACGCGCTTGTTTCGATACAAGACTTAAATCCGAAAACCCCGACTTTAGAAATGGATGCATCTAAAAGGCCTTCGAGATTATTCTGTGATAGTAAACTGTTTTCGAAATAAATTCCAATTATATTTGCTGGTGATGCTTTGAGAGCTTCGATAAACATTTCATACTTCGGAGTGACTTTGGCACGGAAAATGATGTTTGAAATATATACTTTCTCGCTAACAATCCAAGAAGCAAATTCAAACGTATCAAATCCAGGTATTTCTGGGATAATAATGGTATGAATACCTTTGTAAAGCTTTAATATATCGATAATTAGTGGATATATTTTCGTAATATCTTCGAATTCTGAGAAATCTAAGATAGGCTTTTGTTCTGATAAATATAATTTGATTTTTGATAACGAATCATTGCTGACTTCGATTTTGAAAAGACGAATTTGATTCTTAAAGCGTGTCCAAGCAGAGCATGCGTTGGGACTTGATTCTGTAACTGGATAAAGATTCAATCCAATAGCTTCACGCTCATCTTTGGTCATAGTACGCGTTAATATATCGCCTATTGTGCCTAATATGATTGAAAACTCTGCTGATTTAATTCGAATGAAACCTGACTTGAATCTTAACGAGATTTCATCATTTTGTAAGCCCACGAATGTTATTGCTTGCCAAAAATGAAATACTTTTGGTGTTTTGCCTCCTTTCTTGAAAATAAATATTGCGAGATCTGTTAAGATGAGAACGCGCTCTCTTTTCCAGATAGATGTACCAAAGATTTCGACAACTTTTGTGCAGCATACTTTATATCCTTTTTCTTCAAGGAATTTCACTGCATCGCCGAAAATCTCCATATTTCTGTTAACAGATTTTAACTGAGCAGTTATCGTCATAAATTTTTGACAAATGTCAAAAAATATTTTTAATAAACATATAGTGTAGATTGTAAAAATTAATAAAAAATTCAAATTTATTTTTTGACTAAAATAATCGATATTCAGTATTACATGTCAAAACGATTACAATTGGCACTTTTGTAAACGTACAGCTTTAAAAAAATGAGTATGATGAGTGTTTCAGGATCTCCACGAAAATCGTTCAATAGTGGAGGTAGCCTTCATGTTTCAGATTTAGGATCAACTGCTTCATCTCCTCGTTTGGCAATGAAAAATTTTGAAAGATCAACAAACGATGAAGAATTTGTTCAAACATGCGCCCAACAAAGCCGCAATATTCAAAATGTTAGAAAGGATATTCAGGTTTTAATGACAAAAGCATCTGGCTATTGTAAGAATACAGGATTATCATCTGATTCAGCCGAACTTCCTTCGACCCCACCAAGATATTCTGGTAAAACAAAGTTCTCAGTACAATCATCTCCATACTCTCCACGAAATCAAAATGGTTCCGGTTTCTTCAATTCTTCATTGTTATAGGATTGCTCTCTTTTCATACTTATTCACATATGTTTTTCTCGAATAAGCTTTGTGTATATATTACTGAACTTGAATAAAATGTTTATTTTTTCAGATTATTTATTCAATATTCACTGTAAGTGATAGATGATCAAATACATTAGAGGATAAATATCTATTCCTTTTATTTCAATATCATCCCTTTATAATACATACAATTAAAGGAAATTTGGTCCTCATTACTGAAATGGTATAGATATCGCGATATGCACATTATCTAATTGTGTTGTATTACACATCATTAATGATTGAGATCATGAAGTTAATGAATCGTTCTAGTATTTAAAAATACTTCTCAATTCACTGCATTTATTTGGATCAGTGACATGATTAGACATGAAAAATTTGAAAGTCATATATTTACTTAAACTGATAAAGAAATTCATAAAGGTACTTCGGAACTTTTTCCCTTGATCATTGGGAGCCCAAACTTTATCAATATAATTAAGGTACAAATATAAGGTTCTTTGCAAAGAATGGCAGAGCTTGGCTTAAGAGTTTTGGAGTAAAAGATCATTCATTTTTGAATGCAATTGATATTTTTTTTTGGATTTTTTATAAATTTTGACAGCAGTGAAAAATCAATAGACATAATTATGTCATTTTGTTATAGCAATTTATATTGACAGCTGTCAAAATGAAAATTTAAGATACCAATTGAAATTCATATTTTTTTTGATGAATTATCATTTCAAGGAAACAAAGATACACAGAGAATTGAAAAATATTTGTAAATACTATATCGATTCATACAATGCACTGTATCAGTTAAAAACGAATAATGAAGAAGAAATAAAGTCGATTTACAACAAAATCAAAACTGAGTTGATTGAAACAAATAAACAACTTCCCAGAAATGTTATTAAAAACATTTTACATATTATTCCATTTAATAACCGCTGTACAAAGTCATATTTGTCTCTTGCGAAATTCATCTATGACGATTATCATATAAAAGAGGTCAAAGATCTTTCATTAGTTACAAATTATCTTTTTTATAAAGAATATGGAATTAAATTACACAAGACTGATGATTTCAAAAAAATTCAAACAAAAAATTTGGATTTACTTTCAAATGATACAATTTACAGAGCAATTATGAATAATGACACAGAAAGATTAATCAAATTCACAGAAAGTGGCAACTTTTATGTAAAGAATCAAAGAATCAAAAGCAAATTATATCCTTTTAGTGAGAATGGATATTCATTACTTGAATTATGCTGTTACTACGGATCATTTGATTGTTTCAAGTTCTTAAGAACGAAATTTAAATCCGAAATAACACAAAGATGTCTCAATCTTTCATATTTGGGAAGAAATCAAGCGATCATTTCGGAGTGCTTGAATAATGAATGGCCAGACGAAGAAAGTTTGGAATATGCAATTATATCGCACAACATTAATTTTGTTACATATGTGATGAAAGAGAATAATTTTAACATCGATGTAGAATGTTGCGGTCAATACCATAATATTGAGGCATTTTTAATTTATTTCGATCTAACAAATGATGCTAACCAATGCTTTTTCGAATCAACAATGTTTGATGTTCCACATTTGACCGAATAATTCCTTAATAACGGTGCGCTTGTCAACAGTGAATTTGAATCAGAAACAACCGTTCTTCATCAAGCAGCACAACTTAATTGTAAAGGAACAGTGGAACTTCTCATTTCATATGGTGCAAATGTCAATAGAATGAATCAAGATGGAGAAACCCCTCTCCATCTTGCAGCGCTGCAAGATAACATAGAAATAGTAGAACTTCTTCTTTCACATGGTGCAGATGTCAATGAAAAAAACTCTAAAGGAGAAACTCCTCTTCATATTGCAGCGTTGCAAAATATAGGGTGTCCAAAGGTGCGTTTAGCACAGCGCTCTATATGAGACTATTAAAGGAGATATATGCTGATTATAAATATATAATAAAAAATATGAATATATGTATATGATGAGTATGTTGTATTTTGGCGCCATGCCGGGATATAAAATGAATTTTGAGACAAGAGGCGGTTTCGCGGGAAATTTTGGCGGGATTTTTTTCATTTTTTTAATGAATCATAAAGAAAACATCCTCGCTCTTGCAAAAAAATGCAAAGACTGTAAAAAAATCTACGAGACATTGGTAAAATGCTTCGGTATGGATGCTCCTAGCTATTCCACTGTAACGTATCATGTTAGGATGTATCACTTCATGAACAAAAAAGCGCCCATCATAAAAATTGACAAAAAATCGCCGGATTAAAGAAAAATCAAAGCAATTCTTCAAGCGCTAGATGAAGACCCAAGAGCATCACTCAGAAGGATAGAGGAGATGACAAAGATACCACGTACAACAGTCAGTTATTATCTGCACAATTATTTGAACTACAAACTAGCGTATACACGTTGGGTTCCGCACAACCTTAATTCAGTTCAAAAAAAATCTAGAGTCCAATCTTCGAAAGAGCTCCTCTCTATATTGGGTGCGTATCAATCCAAGAAGTTTCGCTTTTTAGTAACCGGGGACGAGTCTTGGTTTCAATATGCAACAGAAGCCAAAATCATGTGGATCCCGAAGGATGAAAATCCGCAAACATTCCCGAAGAAAAAAATTGACACACCAATGATGATGTTGTCGGTTTTTTGGGGCGTGAATGGCATCATCGCAATTGATATTCTTCAAAAACCTAATACGATGAATGCTCAGTATCTAATTGACAATGTTCTTACTCAAATTATCAATTCTGATGAGTTTGAGAAATCCAAACAACAAAAACAAAAGTTTGCAATTCATTTTGATAATTCAAGAGTTCACAAAAGTCATAAGGTAATGAATTACTTGGTGGAAAACAATGTCAAAGTTGTTCCAAACCCAATTTATTCACCTGATATTGCACCCTCTGACTTTTATTTATTCGGCACGCTAAAAAAGAGAGCTGAAGGACGCGAATTCGCGAGTCCAGATGATCTTGAAAATTTTGTAAGAGAGCAATTTGAGCAATTTTCTCATGATGATTTAAAGCGTGTCTTTCAAGCCTGGATCGATCGCTGCGAACGCGTGATTGAATCCAATGGTGATTATATTTAAATAAACTTTATATATATGTAACTTGTTTATTTCTATTCGCAGTATTCAGGTTTGTGCTAAACACACCTTTGGACACCCTATAGTAAAGAAACGGTCGAACTTCTTATTTCTCATGGCGCACTTATCAATGAGAAAGATGGAGATGGCGAAACCGCTCTTTGTAATGCAGCAGAACTAAATTGTAAAGAAATAGCTGAAATTCTTATTGCACATGGTGCAGATGTCAATCAAACAAATATAGATGGAGAAACAGCTCTTCATCTCGCAGCAGAACAAAATAGTAAAGATATTGCTGAACTTCTTTTTTCCCATGGCGTATATATAAATGCAAAAAATATAGATGGTGAAACCCCTCTACATCTTGCAGCGTTGCAAAATAAGACAGAAATAGTCGAATTTATTCTCACTCATGGCGCATATATCAATGAAGAAGATAATGATGGAAGGACTGCTCTTTATAATGCAGCCGAACAAAATTGTAAAGAGGCAGTTGAACTTCTTATTTCATATGGTGCAGATATCGATGAAGAAAATAATGATGGAAGAACAGCACTTTATATTGCCAAAGAAAATCAAAACAAAGAAATTGTCGATCTTCTTATTTCTCATGGAGCAGATACCAGTGAAATAAGTGGTTTTTCATTTTGTAGCATATTATAATTATAGTGACAGGAAAATACCTTTTGTTAAAACAAAAGAAGCACAGTTTGAGCAAATAAAAGTTAAGCAATCATTATAAATTTAATTTTAAATACGAATTCTTTTTGTTAGATTTTTTACATAAGTGAAAAAATTATTAAAATTAAATGAAAAGCCTTTACATTAAAAAAAAAAAAAAAAAAAAAAAAAAAGGCAATGGGGCTTCCAGGCACTTCGTGCCCTCTAGCCCCCCGTCACTTTTCTGTCACTTTTCAGGAAAAAAACATTTTTATTAAATATAAAATGAATTTCACAAAACCACCGTTACCCTTCTTTGGAAATAAGAGTAGATGTAAAGATATTCTATTGAGAGAACTTAAGAAACTACCGAATGGTCTAACATTTGTAGATTTGTTCGGTGGAAGTTTCTATATATCCCATTTGTGCCATACAATATTTCCTGACTCAAAGATTATATGCAATGACTTCGACAACTATATGAACCGTCTCAAACATATACCAGACACAAACAAAATATTGAAAGAGTTAAAAGAAAAGATACCTATAGGTAAGATGGAACGTATACCATTAGATAAGAAAAATACTGTCAGAGAGGTTTTGAAAAAGGCAGAGTATATTGACTGGGATAGTATATCTGCTAGACTATTATATAGTGGTGCTATAAGAGTTCATGACATTGAAACACTTATGTCAAAAGTTTTATATCTTAACTATACAAATGTTTTCAAAGAGGACATAGAAAAATATATTGAGGGTATAGAGTTTGTGAGATGTCATTGGACAGAGTTGTATGAAAAATATAAAGACAAGGAAAATGTTTTCTTTATAGTGGACCCGCCGTTCTATAACACATGGGATTTTCAATACCAAGTAGACTGGACTTTGAGAGACTCTTTAGAAACTTTAGACGTTTTACATAACCATCCATGCTTTTACTTTACATCCGATAAAAGTGGTTTGGAAAGTGTCATGAGATGGTTAGAGGACATACATGACTATGAGTTTAGATACGATAAGATAGAATATGAGAGAGGTCCTATAAACCGGAGAAAGTGTCATAACAAAGAAATTTTATTGGTAAGTAAATGTGGTTTGAAATAGGACTACTTGTTTTAGGTTTTTTCCATTGTGTCATTTACTTATTTGACGTGGCAGAAAGATATAGAGAATATGAAGATGAACCAATGCCAGCAAATGTTCAGCATATGTACTCGTAAGAGATATTTTT